AAAGAAGCCATTTTATTGCAGGTTCGTTATCTTGTAGAACTAGCACATTTTCAGCATTTAAATATACAATTTCTTCAAAACCCAATACATATATGTCTGATTCATTGTTAATCTGAAAAAAAAATCGTCAATACTTAGGCTAATACAAGGATATTTCCCTCTTACATTCCATGTTGGTACAAAAACTCGAAAAGACAGAACATATTGACTAGCATACATTTGAAGTTTTGTGCCACTTATAGATTCAGTTATATATATATATATATTGTAATGAAGGGCTCGTTTAGGAGTGCTTTTTTTCGAAGCGCTTATGCTAGTAGCGCTTATGCCAGTAGCTCTTATGACATAAGCGCTTCTACAAAGAAGCAGTTTGTCGTTTGGATGTCACATTTAAAAGTGCTTTTATACTACATAAATGCACTTTTGATATTTTGTTGAGTGTTTGGCTGACACAGTAAAAGCGCTTTTAAAAGTACTTTTAAAAAATTTAAAGAATCCCAAAATATTATAATAAACATAGAAAATAAAAATTCACAAGATCTCACCCAAGAAAGAAAGGGTGGTGTTTTGGTTTTAATAGGAGAGAAAAAGAGAGAGAAAAAAAGAGAAAGGGTATTTTGGCATTTTAAAAAATTAAATATGGGTATTTTAGGTATTTAAAAATTTTCATTAAAGGGAGCCAAGTGTTTCCCGTGTTTTTGTCCTGGAGCGCTTTTAAGAAGAAGCACATCTCAAGTGCTTCTTCCAAAACCACTCCAAGGGCTTTTGGATCTCACCCAAAGCACTTTTGCAATTTTGGCCAAACACCATTTTTAAAAGACAGAAGCGCTTTCACCCATTTAAAAGCATTTTTTGATGTTCCAAAAGCACTCCCAAACGAGCCCTAAATATATTTCTTTCACACCCTAAAAATTATTTTAATTATAAAATAAATAAAGTATAATGTTGAAAATTAAATATTTGTATCCAAATGCTCTAAATTAATGTTTCAAGTTAAATCCAATGTATTCCATTAAAAATAAATATTCTGTCAAAGAAACAAAGAAACAAAAACAGAAACAGAAAAAAATAAATTAATAAACCCAATGCCTTTTCGAAACTGATTCCCGCATAATCAGAAAATGAAAGCACCTTATTAGCTGCTTTCCTTTATATCTTTCTCTCACAACAATTTTTAATAATAAGTTATTTTCTCATAGTTTACCAAACAGGCTGAGCTTCTCAATTTTTTAAAAAAATCATGTATCACCCCAAATAAGCAATGTCAAACGGGCACTTAGTCTCTTGAAGCTTTGCTCTGAAGTCTTGCCAGAGTTTTTAGCTATCACAAGTGAGGAACTGAACTAATAGATATACATATGATATATACTACTATTTTTTATTTAATTTTTGCTTGATTATTTTTCAATTCTCATTCAGTTGATCCAAACTTAAAGTTAAGCTCGTTTCAAAAAATAAGTTGAGCTTAGCCAAGCATAAGCTTAAAAGTTTGATCCACAAACAAGTTGAGTCGAGCTTGATAAAATCATTAAAGTCGAGCTTCAATACTATTCTATGAGCACAAATCATCCCATAGCTTGTCAATATCATATGGCTGGTAAACTATATTTGGGTATGTGAGAGTTTAAATAATTTAGGTTATAATTAAGACCCAATATCGTACCAATAAATATTTTAATAAACATTCTCTTTGTATTTTAACAATTTAAGTGGTACACACTGCCTTAGCGTCGTCACAACAATCGTTGAGCGTTGTTTGTTCACTACATGTTAGGTCGATTTTGTTGGTGCATCGACCTTCTTGGTCAAGTCTAGGGATGACAACGGGCCGGGTAGGGGCAGGGTATGACAATATCATCCCCGTCCCCACTCTCCATCCCCGCCCCCATCTCCGAACCAATTCCCGTTTAATAGGTTTCGGGGAATCCCCGTCCCCGTCCCCGTCGGGGGACTATCCCCCATACCCGCCCCGAATCCCCGATTTTTTTTGCATAAAAATTATTTATCATACATTTTAACATTAAGTTTCATATTAAATTATCATTCAACACATTCAAATTAACTATAAAGTTCAACTCAACTATTCAAAATCACATCAATATGAAAATCCAGACAATATTAGGAAGAATTAGGAGAGGGAGGTTAATTTAGGGTTAAACATAAATATTAGAAATATTTATTTATTTATTTAAATATAAACATATATATTTTAAGGTCGGGTTCGGGGATGGGGACGCCAATATCATCCCCTCCCCATACCCATCGAGGATTTTTCAAGTTCGGGGATCCCCGTACCCGTTACCCGTTTGGCCCCGAAATCTCCCCCCGTTAGGGTCGGGAACCCGACGGGGACCCGTCCCCACGGGGATTTTTGCCATCCCTAGTCAAGTCCCTCGTTTTTTGGTGGATTGGTGGCTTGGTGGTGAGGGTTGCGACAAGGGAGGCATCGTGTGGTGTTGGTGGTGCATGCATGGGGTTTACATGTGATTGGTGTCTAGGTTGTTTCTTGGACCATATGGCTTTTGTGCGTTCTAAGATCTTCAGTATTGGGCATAGTTTTAAACTAAGGTTGTTGGTTGCAATCTCTGTTCTTCTCTCGTTGGGTTCTTTTATGATGGAGCTCTGGGATGTAGGTGGTGATCCAGCCCTTACTGTTTTGAGAGATTTTTCTACATCGACAAGTTTTCTAATAAGGTGATGGAGGCCAACCTCGAGGGGTCTATTAATTCACCATGATGTGTTCGCTGGAACGTTTGTGGGCTTGACATCTAATAAACATTCACATTATGATGTTCTTCTGTTGGAAGTTTGTCAGGCTAAGAAGCCAATCTTGATCCCCCTACCTCTTTGGGTAGGGGTCTAGATTAAGAATCAAGGAATTGGTATTTGGTACTTCTGCTGGCTATGTTCTGACGCTCACAATACGTTGTTCTGTACATAGAACTATGCGTGCATATGAGTTTTTCTTTGATAGTATTATGTTGTGGCAGGGTGTTCTTTGCGAGGCCTGGAGTTGTGCTTTGTTTTGTCTGTTTAATTCTCTGTAGCGGTCCAAAGTGGCATGTGTCAGACTCTCTTGTTAGTCCATGACATATGTAGTACTCTTTTCTACCTTGGGGTTTGTCCCATATGGTTTTTATAGGAAGGTTTTAACGAGGCCATTGTACTTGTGCCTTTGTATGCATTTTTAGTTTATGAATAAAATCTTATTCTAAAAAAAAAGAACTAGTACACACTTTATTATTCAATAAAAATAATTTGTACTATTATTTGGGAGCATAATAAGGGATTTTTTTGTTCTTGTTCGAATTGTGTCGCTATGTACAGTTACATTAAAATAAAAAGTTTGATATAATCAGTGTAAAATAATAAATTATATATATATAATAGAGGCAGAGAATAGTCAAACATTAAAAACACCAAAAATTTCCATTAATTAATGAATTTATTAAGAATTGAAAATTTTCATTGAATAAGGATAATATAATAAATGAACAATTTTTCATATTAATTTTTTTTAAAAGTAAAAGCCAAAATAAAAATATGGTTCTTATTTTCATAAGACACAACAACCAAACTCATTTTTTCTATGTTAATTCTGATTTGAAGTGAAAAAAAAACAAAATAAAAAACCAATTGGTAGTATAAATTTGAAGGATAAAATGAGGTAAGTTGCCAACTGTCGTCTGGTGTACAGAGAAAATGTCCTCATTTTAAAATGGGTATAATGCCGAAATGCCCCTTGAACTTGTACCTAATTATCAATTTACCCCTTGACCTTTTTTTTTAGCGAATTAAGGGCTCGAATTAAATTTTATTATCAATGTTCCCCCTGCCGTCTATATCATTAACATTTCATCCAATAATCCATCAAATCATTAAAAAAAAAAAAAGAAATAAATTTATTTTTGAAAAAATTAAAGAAAAAAAAGAAAAAAAAAATCCTATGGACCTACCCACCCCACCCCCTGCGTCTTCTTCTCCAACCTATCCTCCCTTGACCTGCAACAAAATCCCACCATTTTTTTTTCTTGCCAAACCAGTTTCTCAAGCTCATCTTTCTTTCTCTCTCTCTCTCTCTCTCTCTCTCTCTCTCTCTCTCTCTCTCTCTCTTCCCCTCCCCCAAACCCCAGGTCCATCCTCGACACCCACAAAATCAACCACCTCGCCACAACCCCTCTGCCCCTTGTACGATTTTTTATCAAATTGATCTAGGTTTTTTTATGTGTTCAAATAAGTGCATGTGGGTTTTTTTGTTCAAATATATGGTGGAGGTTTTGGTGTTGTTGTATGAGATGTGTTTGATTTTGGGAAAGAAGGGGTTGGTATGAGGCTTATAGGAAATGGGGTTGGTAAGCAGAAATTCAGAGGATGCCATTTTCTCAACTCTTTTTTTTTTTTAATAAAAACTTTATTTCTATCATTATTGATTATTATTTCAAATTTCAAATTATTTTATCTCATTTTTATTTATTTTTAACGTATAAATTGACCACTTGCCCTCATATTTAACGGCAACTTGGATGAAATGTTGCAGATTTAGACGGTAGGGGGGTAATTGGCGAAAATGACCAATTTGCCCTCATATTTAACGGCAAATTGGATGAAATGTTCGAATTTTGACGGTGAGGGGAAAATTAATAATAAAATTTAATTCGAGCCTGTAATTGACTAAAAAAAAAGGTCAAGGGGTAAATTGAGAGTTATGTACAAGTTCAGGGGGCAATTCAGCAGTATACCCTTTTAAAATTTTGGACATAATTGTCCAAACAAGGTGGGTGTCGAAAGATATTTTTGGGGTGTTTGTGACATCTGATCTGAGGGCCAATGTCTTGGAGGCCCAGCCCAAATTTTCTTAATTTATACTCTGGGCCGGGGCACCGACATAAATACAATGGGCTAACGCATGACTTGCGTGGCCCGTTAAATTAGAACGTTAGGCCTTCGCTTGAACATAACGTCTCTCTGGTCGCTTTCCCCTTTTCTTTTTTGTTTTAGATACCAAAAACCCAACCCAAGCCACGAACTAGTAAAACACAGAGAGAGATAGATAGAGAGAGAGAGAGAAGGTTGAAGTGAGAAAGAGGGAAGAAGAAGAAGTTCCAGAGCTCCGATTCAAAACCCTTCATCCGTGAATGGAGGACGCTTACGCCAGATCCGTCACTGAGGTAATTCATTAATTCAGTAAATTCACACCTCTGCATGACATTTTCCTGGAAAATCTTACAGTGAATGATAAACTAGCTCCAATCACTTCAGTAATTCAAATTAGGGTGGAAGAATTGAAATGCATTGGAAGCTTTTGGTTCCAGCATTTCTTTGGGAATGTTTTATTCTTCTTCTTGTTTTTCCTTTGGGTTTTCATTTATACAGTCAGTTTTTCAAAATATTTCCTTGTTTAACTGTTTCCGTATTCTTGGTTAGGTTTTGAATTTCTTTGGCGTGGACCCGAAAAGGGGTCTCACTGATGCGCAGGTACGGTAGAGTTTATTTCTCCAGACTGTAATTTCTACTGTTTTATTGGTCTTTTAGTTCAAACCCAGTTTTGAAGGTAATTGCTCTTCCTCAAGGTTTCAAGTGTTATATTGTTTGCAGGTCACGCAACATGCAAGGCTTTATGGTAAAAATGGTATGTTTTTTTGCTCCCAAGTACCAACGCGTATGCATACATCAATTTAGTTGTTGGGTCCGGTGAAGTAGAGTGCTGGTTTTAGGTACTCTACTTTGTATATCTGAGATAGTATATACACCCTTTGGTTTGACTTGCCTAAGGTAAAAACAAGCACTGCTATATTTCAATTGGTGTTCCATCATTTACTGGTTACGTGGTTTTAGCCTATATTGATGGAAGCTTACACGATGATGAAGTTCTTATGTTATTACTAAATTTAGTTACTCCTGGTTTCTTAATTATCTTCCCCAAGCTTGAAATATGAATCCCTTCGTCGTTGTTGTTATTGGTATTATTATGGGTTTTATTCATTTTTCTAATGCTAATGTGGTTTGCTCTTTCGTTTCATGCTTCAAATATGGTCTGCAGTGCTTCCAGAAGAAAAAAGTAAGTACACCATTTTCTTCTTTCCCTCTCCTCTGTCCATCTCACATAAAGCAAGTTTACATGATGTCTGTGTCAGAAATCTGTGAATAATCCCAATTTCATCCTCAATTTGCTTTGATGCAAGATGCTGAGGGAAACTACTTATGATTTAGCAAGAGGGAAACAGAGAGATTTTGATAACCTCTTTTGATTCTCTGGATGGCAATGTACCACCAATAATTTGTTATTACTCCCTATTTCACAAAGTGTAGAAAACCACTATCGTGGTCATTTTAGAAGAGATGGCTAGTTTTGGTGGGTTTGGTGAGAATGAGGAGTTTTAGGAGTCTAAATGCAAATTATTTGCCTGGAATTCATCTTTTAGGAATATGCTACCAGTAGTGATCTAACCTTCTGATAACACCGAAACTTTCACAAATCAAGATCGTGCATTTTATGCCTCTAATGAATATTATCTGCTTTCCATATGCAGGGGCTTCATTCTGGAAATTGGTTTTGAAACAGTTTGATGATTTGCTTGTAAAGATATTGATTGTTGCGGCGCTGGTTTCATTTGTTCTGGCTTTGATTAATGGAGACACAGGCTTAACAGCGTTTTTGGAGCCTTCGGTAAGATATCATATTTGTCTGCTCTGCTAAACTGATCACTTATTAATATTATTATTGGTTTTTCAAACTATGCTTAGAAGTCACCATTCAGGAGTATTCTACTAGCCAAAAAAGATAGTATGCATGTTCTTGTTTAATCTAATATTATGTTTCCTAATAAACGGAAAAAAAAAAAAATTTGCATGTTGAACTGTTGGTTTGGACTTGCCGAAAAAGATTGTTAGCTTAGTTATCAATGCTTAGATGTTTGTCTTGGTGTTTTCTTATGTTCTTCAACTTTTACTTACCATGTCTAGATGTGATCCTTAGTGTTTGATTTGCACTCAACCATGATTTCTTCAATTCCTTCTTTTCCATCTGTAAGTCTTGATGTATGTCTTTTTGTTGAAGTATTAAAACCTATTTTGCAAAAAATTGTTGAGCTCTTGATCCTTTACAAATTAAGGCTTTGATACAATTAACGATAACTGTTTTCTGTATCTGTTGTTGATTAAGCACATGGGATACAACATGGTCTTAATAAAGATTCTTTTGTTTTGAAATTATTGGATGCACAGGTTATCCTCATGATATTGGCTGCAAACGCAGCAGTAGGAGTGATTACAGAAACCAATGCAGAAAAGGCTCTTGAGGTAATTTTACCTTTATTGTGTTTAAGAATTCTCATAGCTACAAGAAAACATCTTGAAAGGCTACAAAGTTTTAAGTTCTGTCTATTGAAACTTTGAGTTATGTACAGTATGCCTACTGGCCATTAACACTTGTGTTAATATCTTTCATCACCCTTCCCCACGTACTCATGTCTACCTTTTTCAATGCATCTGTGTTTAGGTTGCGTGGACTCCCAACATTGTAGTCTTATTTTCTGTTGCATGTTGTAGAATAAGAATGCATGAATTACCACTTAACCTACTTTTTGCTGTGGAAATTCATTACTTAGCCCATGTAGCTTCAGCTCGTTCTGATTCCTTCTTTTTAACCTTGATATTGTAGGAGCTACGTGCATACCAAGCTGATATCGCAACTGTGCTGCGCAATGGTAAATATTTTTGTTTATGAAGTCACTTGACTATGCTAAATGATGTTTATAGTATGTTATGATTTCATGTTTTTAGTCCTCTTTTTTATTTAAACGTTTCTTTCCTGGGCTTAAATTGTGAAGTTCAGATCATAAGTGTATGGTAGTACACCCTTTTACTGTGAGGTGCTGGTAGAGACCTCACCAGTATGGTTGTATGCTTGTTGTAGTTAGTTGGCTTTGTTTGAAAAAGAAATCCCTTCATAGCTATTCACATCGCTGAGCTGTCTGCCAAAGGGGAGAATTGTAAAACATATCTATTGTTGTCAATTGTTTTGGATGCTTCATTTTTGTGGTTAAACATTGCTCATTGCTGGATCTTGGGGATAAAAAGACAAATGGAAGGAACATTGTCAATAATGCCTGGAAAAGGAAGATAATTGCTAACTAAGCACAACTTAAGCTTTTGGAAGTAGTGCTTGACCAACAAAATCTTATGAACATAATATCAAATTTCTTGATGCTTTTAAATTACTCAAGACTATGTCATCCTTCATCACTCAAACCTGATGTAAAAGTAACTCCTTGCAGGTTGCTTCTCCATACTTCCAGCAACAGAGCTCGTCCCCGGTGATATTGTAGAAGTGGCTGGTGAGTTGGTCACCTGCTTTGAGTCTGCAAAATTGGCATATTATTGTGGTTAATCATAAATTCTAATTTTTTGTTGCTTAAAATGCATAGTGGGATGCAAAATTCCAGCCGATATGAGAATGATTGAGATGCTAAGTAATCAGTTACGTGTTGATCAGGCAATTCTTACAGGTATATCTGTTTTATGTACTGGACATAGTAAATCACATGGATATTTGTTGTTATTGTTTTTGTGAATTGCATGGATCACAATTGTTGAGTATGTTATGATTAAGCACATGCTGGATCCAATTTAGCGGGGAATTTTTGTTTGATGATGGCAGGTGAGAGTTGCTCTGTGGAAAAAGAGCTTGAGTCCACCACTGCAACAAATGTTGTATATCAAGACAAGACAAATATTCTTTTCTCGGTAAAAAAATTATATGTTTTATGAAGCTAATATGCTGGATCCAATTTATATGTACCGATTTACCTATTTTATAAACTTGAGGGAATGTGATAAGCAAGTTGTGCATTTCTTATGTCTTATTCTTGTTCTTTTTGGTTGGGTAATCAGTTCCAAAGCAATGATTAACTTCCTGCATATCGTGGTCCCCAGGGTACAGTAGTTGTGGCTGGTAGGGCTAGAGCTATCGTAGTAGGAGTTGGAACACACACTGCTATGGGCGGCATACATGATTCAATGTTGCGAACAGAAGATGTAAGAACTTTTAATTCAGTTTTGCAGTAGTTTGTCGCTAGACATGTGATTTTACCCATCCCCCTCTTTTCTTAAACTCAACAGGAAATAAAACTTGAAAGAAAGATCCTTTGTTGAAATTATATTTTCTACATATACAAGCTGTGTTTACTTCCAATTATTCAAATATATGGCTGCTTGCAGGAAGTGACGCCGTTGAAAAAGAAGCTGGATGAGTTTGGTACTTTCTTGGCCAAGGTAATTCCCCAAGTTTTTATTTTGGCCACTGATCTCAAGTAGTTTTTATTGTTAGTATCGTACTTGTGTTTTCAGATATTATTTATGGTTTTCTTAACTTTTGTTGCATTATTAGGTTATTGCTGGCATATGTGTACTGGTATGGATTGTCAATATTGGTCATTTTCGTGACCCTGCTCATGGTGGGTTCTTGCGCGGTGCAATTCATTACTTTAAGGTAATTTTTCATAGTAAATTTGAAGGTTAATGCTTTATTAACTTTTATCCATCATATTTCTGTTTCAATGGCTCTTCCTTCGCACTTTATGTTTACAAACTATTTTCTTGTGGCCACTAAGATTGCAGTAGCACTTGCAGTTGCAGCAATCCCTGAAGGACTTCCAGCTGTTGTTACAACGTGAGTACTTGAACTTTTACTTGGTGTATAGAACAAATGTGTGTACTAGTTAATTTACCCTTTTCAAAAGCCACTGCATCCGGAGACTAGGTCTCCAATATGGATTTGATTACTGGTTGTCTCATTATAGTGTGGGATAGGTGATAGAGCAATGGGGTGCCACTTTTTCAGCTTGAAAAAGGCACCCCATTGTGGGACTGGGTTTTGATATGGATTTGATTATTGGTTGTCTTATAATCAAACAACGTGTGGGGTAGGTGATAGAGCTGGAAGTGGAGTGCCAATTTGTTTAATGAGAATTTAATTAGCCATAGATTGAGGTCTCACGTTGTATAGTCTATCGTTTGGGTGGGACTGAAATGGAATAGAGAAGAAAAGAGAAATAGTGGGTGTTCTTTATGGCTCTTTCTCTCGAACTGTTCAGCCGTTACTTTCATTGAAGTATATGCATTAGAAGTAACTTAATTTGACAGCAAGCATTTAAGTTCTTGAGTTCTTGTTTGTGCATCTAGGCTGTTTTGTTGATTTCATGAGAATTAATGGAATCTGCCGATATTCCGGTGGATAAATTGTAGTGTATTTTCATGTCTCCTATCAATTTCTGTTGGAATCCTATTTATCAATATGAATTGAGGTTTAAATTAGTAAGTATTAATACTGAGAAATTCTTAAAACCTTGATTTTGTAATTGGAGTGTAATATGTTATCTCTAGGAAGTCATTAAGATTAACCAGTATCTAATAGGAAGCTTATCCATATCTGATGCTTTTCTTTATGATGGTCTTTCTTTGTTCTTGTTCTAGTTGTTTGGCTCTTGGGACAAAACGTATGGCTCGGTTGAATGCCATTGTAAGGTCTTTGCCATCTGTTGAGACCTTAGGCTGCACTACAGTAATTTGCAGTGACAAAACTGGAACTCTGACAACCAATATGATGTCTGCCTCAAAGGTGATTATATAATGACCTTGCCATGGTAAACAATTGAATATGGTTTGTTTATTTATTTTTTTGCTTTCCTAAATTGCTGTAAATAGCCAGGAACAAAAATTGTCACTTGGTACATTTGAGGCTTCGTATTGTCTATATGTATTACTTGCAGTTGAAACTTGTAATAACTTACTTCCAAAGGATGCAACACATGCACAACACACACACACACAAACATTTATGCAGTGATGGAAGAGGCACAGAAATGCACCCTTGTGTGCATACTTTATGGAAGGTTGGATGAATACAAGGAATTTATGAGTACATAACATGAAGGACGACATGATTTTTGGTCTGTCACATGTGAAATAGTATTTGTTATTTGACAAGTCATCAGTGCAATCGATAGAAGTTTCTTTACTTTGCTTGCTAGGTTTCACAAGAACTATATTAAATTGGCTTGGGTACCTGATTTGATAATCTCAAACCTACAGCTTGTTTACCTGATTTAAAATCCTGGAGTGTTAATTTTAAACTTTCTTCACAAATTACCATCGTTGGTGGCTTGGTGCAGTTATGTTGCTTTCAAATAAGTTTTCACCCGTTGCTACTGCTATCTCTTCAGGTTTGTGTACTTCATACTGTACAGCATGCTCCGGTTATTTCTGAATACAGTGTCAGTGGAACAACATATACACCGGAAGGCACAATTTTTGACAGTACTGGGCTTCAGGTAGTTCACTATTGCATATTTGGCATATAGCCAAGCGTGGCTGAAAGTAAAGAATAAAGACATGTGACACTGTGTGTGAACTTTGTTTCTTATAGTATTGTACTTGATTCACTTGCAAGTCATCTGATAAGGTTCCTAATTTCTTAGCACATCTGTGTGCCATATCAGTTTTCAAGAATGAAAACCAATATCAAGCTTTTAAAGGTAGGGAAAAGTATACATATTATATAGATATATCAGGCTAGATCTGGAGAGAAGTCCACGCTTAAATAGTTTTGTATATATAGATAAAAATTCAAACCATACAAGCTTTGTTTAATTTAATTTATTTTTTGGCCTGAACAGTACAAGGTTGAACTGCATACTGTTCAAGCAGATAGAGCTCTTCAAATGTGAATTTGCCTACCTTCAGATAAACAAAATTTGAATGTATTACATTAGGGTTGCCTTTCCCTTCAGTGTACTTAAATGTTTATGTTCTGCCTTTTAATATAAAACTTAGTCAACGTAATAATCTTTGCGGTTCTATAAATGATATCTGGCATAATTTTTAAATGCTTCATTCAGGTTCTCCTATTTAGTTCTGCACTGATTTGATGTGTGATCTATTTTTCAGCTCGAACTTCCAGCTCAGTCACCTTGTCTTCTTCACATTGCAATGTGTTCAGCGCTATGCAATGAATCTATCCTGCAATATAATCCCGACAAGGGTAACTACGAAAAGATTGGCGAGTCAACTGAAGTAGCCCTCCGTGTTCTTGCAGAGAAGGTTCATTTCTGTACTTATTCTAAAGTCTCAAGATCAGCTAATAACTGCAGTTTTCAATTCTTATTCTTTGTTCCCCTTCTTTTCTCTGTTTGTTTGTTGTGCAGTTATTCATGGTCTATACTTGTAAGTTTTTAAATTCACTTTCTTTCCCTTCCAGATTGGTCTTCCTGGCTTTGATTCTATGCCTTCTTCTCTGAATATGCTGAGCAAGCATGAACGTGCATCTTACTGTAATCACTACTGGGAGGACCATTTTAAAAAGGTTTGTGTTGTGACCCCTTTCCCTCTCAGATCATGCCTCAAAAAATAAATGGAAGCTAAAATTGTGAGTTAAGAATAAAATATCATATTAGTAGGTATGTTCTATAATTTCCAACTATCCAATCTTTTTGGAAATTGTATGTTATATTCTTCTGCTTTTATATATTTTAATTTTTCTATATTTATATCATATTTGGTATTATATGGAACATATATTTCTGCATAATTAAATCTTTTGATGAATCATGATGTTTTAATGCTGATCCGCCACCTTACTGAACAACTTGGAATAATTTGTTATTGCTTCTACTTGTCTTCTTGTGTATTTCTGGTTTGCCTCTGGTTGTATATGTTTATTCATCAATGTTGCCCTTCTTCAAGTTTAATGTCATAAGCAGTAACGGTGGAACTGTTTACTTGATCAATACAGAAGGAAATGCAGTGGAACAATTCTGACTTGGGATTTCCATTTCCTAAGATTTGGTATTTGCTTATTGGTTTAATATATGCTTTGCAGATTTCTGTTGCAGATTTTACACGTGATCGGAAGATGATGAGTGTCCTTTGTAGCCGAAACCAGTTGCAGATTATGTTTTCAAAAGGTGCTCCAGAGAGTATTATTTCTAGATGCACAAATATTCTGTGCAATGATGATGGTTCTACCATACCACTGACCACTAGTATCCGAGCTGAGCTGGAGTCAAGGTTCCATAGGTTAGAAATATTTTGTTCATCATTGATTGACTATGTTGTCTTTTATGTTATTTTGTACAATTGAATTGTACAGTGTTACATATAATTAGAGAATCTTTACACTGAAATTCTTTAGGTGGTCAACTCATTTATATTCTGTTCACTAGACATTGATTTAAGACCCCCCAAAATGAGTTAGTCCTTAAGATTTGAATCTCTTTGGATAGGCGCATGAGTTTTGGCTTCAGTTTATCTCTCTTTTTGGTTGTTGAGAAATTCTCTAAGGCAAGAGGGTTTACACTGTTCTTAGGTTTTAGTACCCATTAATACACTCTGCGATGAACTCATATGCAGTGATGGAATCAAATCCTTAGAGGGCATATTTCTCTTATTTTGTAATGTAAATTGGTAAACTTGGATTTGGCAATATCTTAATTTTTGTATTGTCGCTATAGTTTAATACTCCTTTCATATATTTTACTCTGTCTCTGTCTCTGTCTCTGTCTCTGTCTCTCTGTCTCTCTGTCTCTCTAAAGCTTAAGTTTTCATTGTTACTCACATGGTGTGTAAAAGTTCTACCAGTCAAACCTGTCTAATTTTTGTACTGGCAAGCTTGAATTTTTTTGAGATCATTTCGTTGTATAGATAAATATTCTTTGGTCAGTTTTGCAGGAAAGGAAACATTAAGATGCCTGGCTCTGGCCTACAAGCGGATGCCCATGGGTCTTCAGAGTCTCTCCCATAATGATGAGAATGATCTTACATTCATTGGGTTGGTATGCCTTCTATTCCAAATAGAGAGTCAAGTTTGTTTGGTGTTTATATCAAATATTTTGCTACTGTGCTTAATACTTCATTTTATTTGTTTAGTTCGCATGATATGGATGTCATTTCCCCCTGTTGATTAACAATATTTCTTTTAATTGTATACATTCTTCCTCTGTTTCTTTTGAAGGTTGGAATGCTTGATCCACCAAGAGAGGAAGTGAGAAATGCTATGCTTTCATGCATGACTGCTGGCATACGTGTTATAGTTGTCACTGGGGATAACAAGGTAAGTTTGTCCTTTTATGCATGGATGTATGCTCATGCGCATGTCTATCCACATACATGGTTAGAACAGTCCTGCTGATTTTGGACACGATTTTAGTCCACAGCCGAATCCCTTTGCCGCAAGATAGGTGCTTTTGATCACTTGGCAGATCTTGCTGGACACTCTTACACTGCGACTGAGTTTGAAGAATTACCAGCATTGCAGAAAACACTGGCATTGCAACGTATGGCACTCTTCACCAGGTATGCTGGTTGCATCTGTGCTGTATCTTGTCTCTTTTCTATGGAAGCTTGGGTATTTATCATGTGTTCCATCTTTTGAAATAATTTTTTCAGTCATTTTCTCTTTCAAATTATTTAGTAATTATGCATTATATGTTTCTGGTTTGTTAGGGTTGAACCTTCTCATAAAAGGATGCTGGTTGAGGCCTTGCGGCACCAGAATGAAGTGGTACAGTCCTCTATAACTTTATCACTGGATGATGAATCATTTTATATATGCAAGAACTTCTTTTTCATGCTAAGAATCGGTGTTTTGCTCCCAGAAAATTTGTAAAAGAAACTTATTCATTGGGGATTGTGCGTACAGAGGAGTGAGAATTGCAGAGTCTAAATGGGAAAATAAAAATAGCTGTTATACTTTGCTTTGGATTAGACATTAAGAAGCTCTCTTAGCAAATATGTAATGTAACTGACCAAAAAAGGATTTTTTTTTTTTTTTCAGCTGTGTTAGTTGTGTGTGTGTGATTAGTTGTGGTTGTACTTATTTCCATACACTTGTTTCGACTTCTCTAAAGCTTTAGGGTGCTTGGAATTTTGTTAGGTTGCAATGACTGGTGATGGTGTTAATGATGCGCCTGCACTAAAGAAGGCAGATATTGGAATTGCCATGGGTTCAGGAACAGCTGTTGCTAAGGTGCTCATTTCTTGTACTCTAATTAATGCTTTCTTTTTCTGGTCAGAAACTTAAACCACATGACCCATGCACTGGCTGAGAGCCACCCTAACAGCATGATAGTGTCTGATGATTGTTGCAGTCTTCAAACTGAAGTTTCTGAGTAACTATACTTATCACTAGGTGAAGAGGCCATTGGTAAGTGGCCTCTTCTGAAGTAGCATTTCATGTTAGCTTATTCTAAAAGCATCTCTGCCCATATGTAATTTCTTTGCCCTGTATGATTAAAGACAAAAGTATGTAGATGCACTGTTTCCCCCATGTTATCTGGATACACTGTTTTCACACATGTCATTCCGAAATCAACCTCTATACTATTGGGTCCTAGAGCCATTCTCAGCTTAGAGAACATTGTGGCACCCTAATTTTTACAATAGCAGTTGAGAAGCCTGCATGGTTCTATTAAAAAAAAGTTAAAAGCAGTATTCACGGTTTAATTGTCATTCATATTGTTATTTTTGCTCTTCTGATCACTGTTATCGTTGCCTTTATCAGAGTGCGTCAGACATGGTTTTGGCCGATGACAATTTTGCTACTATTGTTGCGGTATGCCTGTCTTTCCCCTTTTTTTTTTTTTCCTTTTTTTTCTTTTTTTTTTGGTATTTCTAGTACTTTTAAGAAATGAGGACTGGAGTAAAAAGTTATACCTCTGCCATTCAACTTTATGAATGGTCAACTCTTGGCAGGCTGTTGCAGAGGGAAGGGCTATATACAATAACACAAAGCAATTTATCAGATATATGATCTCTTCAAATATCGGTGAAGTAGTTTGTATATTCGTGGCAGCTGTACTTGGCATACCTGATACCCTTGCCCCTGTAAGTTCATTTAATGTTCAGATTTTGAGCTTTCATTTTCCAACTCATTCTATGTGAGAACCGTAATGTCTTCTGCTTCTTTTACTTTCATTTCCTAGGTTTAGTTAGACCTTTTGCAGACATATTAGTTGATGAGCCTGTTTGTTTGTTGTATTTTTCGTAATACTTTATGAAAACTTTTTCCAGGTCCAGCTGCTGTGGGTCAACTTAGTTACTGATGGATTACCTGCCACTGCTATTGGTTTTAATAAGCAAGATTCTGATGTGATGAAGGCTAAACCTCGTAAGGTATTGCATTAATTTAATCTGCTATTGCAACTGTCCAATTTTAGTTGTGTCTGCACTCCATGCACTCAACGTTAGAATTTTGAGTTTTTCATGGACTTGTTTCCATTTGCTAGTGAAGAATTATAGTAATTGGACAGTTTTGTTTTGTTTTCTTTCATTAAGTGTATGTATGCTTTATGATCCCATGATGATATTATCTTAATCTCATAAAACTATTCTTTTGTGGTTGAAAGAATCCTATTTTCAGCATAATATCACTTTAACTTCTGTTTGTGTGCAGGTCAATGAAGCAGTTGTTAGTGGATGGTTGTTTTTTCGTTATTTGGTAATCGGAGGTATGCATAAATCACATTTGACATGGCTCCTAGTGATGTTGATGTCGATTACATTTGGTTTACTTCCTGTCAACCTTCTAAAATAGCACACAGGACTGCTCTCCATTAATAAATATAATGAAAATAATCACATTTGACATGGCTCCTAGTGATGTTGATGTCGATTACATTTGGTTTACTTCCTGTCAACCTTCTAAAATAGCACACGAGGACTGCTCTCCATTAATAAATATAATGAAAAATTTTAAAGCCTTATAAACTGTAGGCCTTATACATATTGTTTTGAATCCATCTTTGAGTCACTTTATTGATTAGTTTATTGTCTCAGGCTTGATAAATATGCAAATGTCTCACATTCATAAGCAACTTTTGAACGAAAAGTATTGGGATCACTTACTGAATGACCTTTCGTTCCCTACTTTTTTCTTGGTTGCATTTATTTTTCCATATGGATTAATACAAAATAGGACTGTGTGGGTTCACAATCTTGTTTTTCATAATTATATGTTCCAATATCCAGAATTAATGCTGGCGATTAGTTAAGAACTAAGACATAACATGAAACCATTTACAGTTTTTCTATAATTTTTTTCACCTATGTGAATCTCTAAAGTGAAATTTTTAATTGCTGTCTTTCTAATATAAATTATTGGTGATCTGGATAACAAATAGCTAGGGTAGTAGCAGGTTAATAATCAGTAATTCAGTTTACTGTACATGTGTTTGTTTATTTTCATCCAACTTCCAATGAAGGTTTATGAATTGCAGCTTATGTTGGGCTCGCCACAGTTGCGGGATTTATTTGGTGGTTTCTTTACTCTGATAGTGGTCCTAAACTGCCGTATTCTGAATTGGTAAGATCCTACGGACTGAAGTCCCGCATTGTTTTAAATTATTGTTAGAGCTCTTTTGTGACTAAGAGTCAAAGTAAATGGAGGAATTCTTCAGGCTGTTCACTGGTTTCTGTGGTTTTGATAACAATTTTTTTAATAATTACCTCGGTATAGAAAGGTGCATAGATAATATCCTTTGTTATGTTTAATTTGTAGTTTTTTAGTTTCTTAGTTATTTTGTTTCAGATGAACTTCGACTCATGTTCAACGAGGGAGACAACTTATCCATGCAGTATATTTGATGATCGCCATCCATCAACAGTGTCCATGACTGTGCTTGTGGTTGTTGAAATGTTCAATGCCTTGAATAATCTCAGCGAAAATCAGTCTCTTCTGTAAGTATATACTTCGATGTTTATGATATTACAATTTTCGTCTGATATTTAATTAAGAAACTATTGCTGCAACTCATTTGATTTATCGGATTGAAAGCACATAAAATTTGTTATTAGTCCTGCTTTGTATATTGTCTTGTTCCTTTAAGGTAGTATATAGTAAGGTAGTGTTCTTGTTGAGTTTCCAATATTTCGCAATTTTCACCCTTGACTGGATTATCCTTGTTCTCTTTACAGTTGTTATGGCAACCATTCAGGGTAGTTGTCCTTGCTTTGTATATTGTCTTGTTCCTAGGTACTATTCAGCTGGCTAGATACTGAGACAAACATCTTGAAAGATTTTATTCCCGTATCATTGATATATGAATTATTGCAACATAATATATGTTTTGATTGTTTCTGGGTAGTTGTAGATTAGACTTACTTTAGCACTGACTTTCTGTGGTTTCCAGGGTTATCCCTCCATGGAGTAACTTGTGGCTAGTTGGTTCAATCATTCTAACGATGATCCTTCATGTGCTAATATTATATGTCCATCCACTCTCTGTTCTTTTCTCTGTAAGTAGTTTCCTGTACTTGTGCTTGTGATTGATGGTTTCTGTTGTCCTTTTTTATTTTATAGAAATGCATAATTAATGGTCTCGTAACATTTTCTGCTGTAGGTAACACCATTATCTTGGTCTGAGTGGACGGTTGTGTTATACCTTTCATTTCCTGTATGTGGCTTACCCTCTCATAGTCCTTTTTTGTGATTCTGTTTTTTGACTATTATGACAATTTCTCTTACGATTGGAATATAATACTTTTCAGCTATAAAATGCATGATCTATGTGAGACATTTTCTCTAAAATTTTAGCTCTTAATTCAAGGCATTAATAGCGTGGATATGCTGGATTAACATTTCTTACATAAAAATTTTGTGTGGGTAAATAACTAATGATTTCTTTCCTTTTTATTACATATATATTCAGAATATTGCTTTGGGAAGTTAAAAAAAGTTGTCAACTTCGTGTGTTAAGAAGTGACAATTTGTCTCTTAATGCAAATAAAGCATTATAAAGATTTAAAATTCATAGAAACTTACACATGGTGGGGCTGTAAATGTGTTACTTTTGTAAGCTAAGCAATAATTCTGTCTGGAAATGATACATCATAACTGCCTTTGGCAGCTAGTCTTTGTCAACACTCATTCAAGCTTCATTCATTATCTGATTTAGGTTATTATCATTGATGAAGTGCTAAAGTTCTTCTCAAGAAGTTCCACTGGTAAGATCTTTATCCTTTTCATGAAGTCTCATCATTTTCATCTCAACACAATGTATATATGACTAATGCTAACTCGGATTGTGTTCGAGAAACAATATTGCCCACTTATAAATTTTGGGGGCTGTTGCTTTTGTATGTAGGTATACGGTGGTTCAGTTTCCGGTGGAGGAGGCCCGATTCACTGCCAAAAAAGGAATTGCATGAGAAATAGAAATGGAGATTTATGCGACCCAATTTTTTGAGACACCAACACTGGAGGAGACAAACTCCTTATTGTGAAAGCCTATATGTTTTGACATATCCTTCAACAGATAGGAGGAGCCGTGCATTCATAATGGATTCAAATGCTTCCTCGAGATGTCGGAGTGGATAGCGTTGTAATTTTATAGGTACTATTTTACCCTCATTTTGATCTTCTGTATACAAATTACCCGGCGAAGAGCCGCCATTAAATGAAGGAAAAGTTCCCAAAAACAAATACAAAAGACGGCCCTCTTGTTATTTTGGGTCTTATATCATTAAGTTATTTTTGTTAAACATGTTTTCTTTCTCATGGTGGTGGGTTTTCTTTCTTATAAAACCGTCATATGAAACATTTATTTCTAATGTTAATGTCGTTAAGATGGAATAAATTTTGTCAAATGTAAAACCTTGATCAGCAACCTTATTGCTCTCTTTGATGGTAACATTACTGTAAATTTGTAATTGACTGGAAAAGAAAAATATACAGCTGTGAAGTTGGAGATGGTTAAAAGAGGTTCCTCAGATATCCACCTTTTATACATGGTCAAGCCTTCTTCACGCTTGTACTCAGGAGCTGTGTGCCCTGCCCCCCCCTGCATGCAAATTATAAGTTATAACCAGACAAGAATACAAAAAATTATGAAGTTCCAATTGAATCATAATCTTCCTGTGATTGTTGATTGGAAGAGCACAAAACTGAAACAAATGTTCTTGCCTTCATACGTCATCCGATTCAAATACGTTCTTGTATAACTACATCCCAAAGCAACAATTAAAATTTCCATTAGCTCATTGGATCATCAAGCTCAATCCAAAATTGTAAGTACTTACCCTGCAATTTGACCTTGCACAAGCCATGGTCTCCAGTCATCAATAATGGAATAATTTAAAGATTTTATCCATGCTTGATGTATATCTGCGCGCGTCTCGTGTGTGGTGGGTTTAAATTCTCACCTTTATATTAAAGATGGAAGGCCTTTAGCACTAAGCTTTGCATGATACTGAATACTGGTTTCAATGTCATGGACATAAGGTTTTTCGTAGTTGCATCGCTGCCATTTCCCTATACTTCCCTGCATTACCAATTGAAGGTAAAGATTCATCTCTGTCTACATTTTTTGTTTACCAATTTAGTGTTCAACTCTATCGTACCTTGCGTATGCGAAGGGCTTTGCGGACGTAAGAAATATATTATTGAGAAAGCAAATATCCATAACTCTAATAATACAAAGAAATATATATATAAAATGGAAGTTTAAACTCTTCAAATTGATCTTCCTTAGCTAGAGTAATGCCTAAACATGTCATATTAATGTGCTTTACTTAGTGAGAAGTCCTCCTCTCATGTTCAACCCCTCACCTCACGTGCCAGTTATATTGTCAATTTTGTGTGAGATGGGTTGTATACAGCGGCTGCACTCAAGAAAGTTTCCCCATCAACTGGTGTTAAGTAAAGAAAACTTGTCGATTAGATGAGCTCATTAAGACCCCAAATAAATTGTTTCTAAATTTGCTCAGCTTCCTGAAGAATTGGAGGGCATGTTGCACTTGTTCCGAATCACCTGGCTGGCCAGCAAATGAAGATCTTGCATACGAAAATCCAGTTCCAACCGGGGAATCTAAGCAAAATTATGCTAGATAGCTGCCATCCAAATTCATCATACCATTCGATTCGAAAAACAAAAAGTATATGTATATATTTAGATTAATTTTCTTCTCAAGAGAAGTATAATTGCTTGCTAAGATGATGTCTAATATCGTTCTAATTCTGGTGATGAATCAGAGTATAAATACCTTTGTCCATGAGTATGGATTTAAGATAAGGTAGGTAAACTCCCATTGTACTGCTCTATTTCAAAATTCAGTGGACCTACAAAATGAAGAGGACCAATGAGTTGCTGCTGGTGTGAAAGCATCAAATTACAACTAAGCCTAGCCCCTATGGAAGAAAGACTAATTGCAAAATTTTAGTATCAAAATGCTATGACTTTCTGATTCTCTTTCTTTATGACCAAATTATTAGAAAGCAAAGTGTTACCTATTACGTACAGAAAGGCAGTCACCGGAGAACAACCAGGTCCACCAGTTAGCCAATGCATTAGAGGATCCTCTTCTGCCTTGCTCTCTAACTTGACGAAGTAGTAGAAGAGCTGCACCTCCTCTGCTTCCCCCACTCCCACGTACCTAGCAATTCACATAAATATATGTTTACGTATGTACAGTTATTTATATTGTCAGGTAAATGCTTAATTTATGCCGGCCGACTCTGATAATCTAGACCACACATTCTGACAAAAATCAACATGAACATTTTCCCCATATATATGCATTCAGCACTGACGCTAACTGATATTTTGCAGCAATATAGACGAATATAAATACCCAGTTTCGAGTTCGAAAGGAAGAGGTCCATGGATTCCGGGAAGAGACTTAACGAGTGAGGAAGAGCCTGCAAGCAGCTGTGAGCAAAGCTGTGAAGAAACCAGAAGTAAAAAGTAGAAGCAGCATACCATGGCAAAGAGAAGAAAGCCTTGCCATGGGATTTGATATTGGCATTGGCCCTTGGTTCTACTACTTTTATTATTGTACAATTAAGGTTTATGCTATATATATGGAGGACATGGAGCTCAACGTGCGGTCTTATTGTGAATATATAGTGGCCTAAAGCTTGGGGTTAGGGGATACGTCGACTAAAAAGTTGGCTGGCTGGGATAATAATAAGAGCCACGACAAAATGGTTGAGTTACTAGGGACAAGAAAAACTAAAAGTCCTTTTTATTATTATTATGATTTTTTCACTATTTTGTTTATTTTCTTCCATTTAGTTTCCAAATTCTATTGTAGTTAAAACTTAAAATCGTAAAAAGAAAATTTCCGTTCTTTCTATAAGCTATTGTTATTTCTCGGGACAATAATATGAGGATGGATAAACGCCCTAATTATTTTTCCTTTTTCTTTCTTGTACCTTCATCAATTCTCTCTCACTACTTTACATCATACACAATTCATAAATCACGATCAGATATTGTTTACAAGAATCAACAGCCACTCCATTTTCAGAGTAGAAGCCAAGGTATCGGCGACCATTTTGCATCGCCGCACCGGCAGCCTCATCTTTTCTCATTCTCGACTTTCTCAACTTTGAGTTTCTTTGTCATACGTCCAAAGATGTTTGTGTAGAGCTTAGCATCCCTCTTGTTGCTTTCAACTTGTAGTCGTTTCAAATTCTTCTCAATCAACTTGACCTCCCTGTTCCACAGAGCACAGAACACTTCAAAACAAATTGTTCATATGGATTAAGAAAATCGGTTTTTTTCAGTTACCTGTTCTGAGGATCAACCTCGAGAGCTTTCTTAATGTCTAATTCGGCCAAGACCAAATCTGCAACTTGCATATATGCTTGTGCCCGTCTGTACAAGGCCTTTACATTATGGAACTCGATATCTAGTACCTGTGGAGGATCACAACATAGAAAATATGACGAGATTTGCCCTAATATTTTTTCCCCAAAACGTTGAGACATGTAGAATGATGAAAGCATGTGAATGCTAGAAGACGCAGAAACTTCATCCATCAGTTTTTTGGGTACAGCTTACCTTTGAACATAACTTGATTGCTTCCTGAAAGTCATTTAGTTTTAAGCTACATGCTGCACCATTCAACCAGAAAGACAGTCTAAGTTCTCTTGCTAGCTTTGACTCATCGTCCCCAAAGTTACCATCTTCACTAACATAGTCAACACCCTGAAATAAGAGGAAAGCAACAGAAAAATATGAAGTTGATTAAAATAGAACCAACATAAGGTCCATTTGGGAGTCAAAATTGCACTATGTTACCTTATCATACTTTTGTCCTGCTTTCTGATACTTCCCCTCTTTAAAGAGAAGGTTGCCTTCCTCTTTCTTCCTTCTGGCTGCCTCAAGTCGCTCATGATTGATCATTTCCCATGGTGCTTTCTCCTTTTCATAAAAGAGAAGTGAAGAGTGATAATTAAGAAAGTAATTGTAGTAGCGCTTGAAACTTTGTAGTTGTGAGAGAAAAATAGGAAATTTGTGCCTTCTAGCGTCATTACAAATATATTGGAAAAGTACTGTTTCAAATCCCACAATTTCATCAAAATGATCATTACCCTGATAAAATCTAGCATTTCAACTTCAAAGACGATATTTGAATGTGGTGGAACTACAGCCAGGTCCCGCCTTGCTTCAATGCTTCCAAATCCAAAATCAGGATGTATAGTCAATATTGCCTGTTCACCCTTCTTCATTGTTGCAACTGCTCGGTCTAAACCAGCAATCACTTGTTCTGTAGATTAGATGCAAATATTAGCCAGAAATCCTTTTGAGATTTCTTCTTGATTATCAGACAAAAAGATGCCGAGAGAGAGAGAGAGAGAGAGAGAGAGAGAGAGAGAGAGAGAGAGAGAAACAATGAACTTGGAGTAACTGACCTTCGTCGGTGATAAATTCCAAAGGCTGCTCTCCATCTATTCCTTTTTTCTCAAAGACAGTGCCATCTTCAAGACTAGCTATATAGCTAACTGCAGCAGTTGGAGATGTCCAGAAATGTTTAAGTTAATTAGTAGAATGGTACGATATCACAGTTTCATTATGTATTCCAAAAATTACTTACTATGACATTCAATAATAGTTGGTAAACCATCTGATAGAAGTTTTTTTATTAGTTACACATTTGGGGAGGGGGAATATCAACTTGGGACCTCCTTTTTAGAAAAAAAGTGTGACTATCAATTGGGCTATCCTGAAGGCCTGTAGATATTTGATATCAATGCCCGTGCATGATTGAAAGAACCTTTTCTTCTTGGAATAAATATGAAACTGACGAACATTTTTTGTAATTAACTACAAATTATCATTGAATGTGCATAATTTAACAAAATATTATCTCGCATTCTACATATACTTCACATTTCTAATTGCTTTCAAGATCAGGTAAACTTTTACCTCCAGGTACTTCCAAACTGATTCTAGTAATATTACTAAAATAATGCTTATCTCAATAAACTTACCAGTAACACTTGCACTTTCATTAGCAACCCACGCACCTTCCCCTTCTTTCAATACCTTCTTTATTACCTTGGCATCACCAGTAACATCAATAACAGGCTTGAAAGACACCAACTCCAGATCAATGTTCAGCACAGAACATGGAGGGACAGAATGAAACCCATTGTTTGCATCCCTCCCCTCCACACCAAAGGCATCTACAATTATTTATCAACTTTCATCGTCAGACGATTCAATTTTTTTCTTTTTGCCAGACATAGCAGTTTGATAACAAGGATCCAAAGACATACACTGAGGTTGAACAATTAATCTGACCTTCTCTCCCCTTTTCATTGTCTTGATTGCTTTTGGCAATGCTGAACAAAAATGACCTGAAACAAACACAAACCCCACGTTATTCAATTATCACAAATTGGTATAATCACTAAGGAATTGCCTTTCCCATTAAAATCACATCAGATTAAAATAAAAAAAGAAAATACCATCTTTCACATAGAATTCAATTCCTTCTTCTGGAGTCTCTGCAACAACGGTACCATCAACCAACGCCACCCGATACTTGACTGCATTAACAACAAAATTCCAATAAAAACATCCAAATTGATGTTGACAGAACTGTGATTACATGCTAACACAATATAATAACCAATAAAGAACTCAAATTGATTATATAATGAGGCATCAGAGTACCAAGAACTTCATCCAAATCACCAGGCCGCTCATTCCTCTCTCCTTTCTCGATAATTTTCTTCACAATCCCACCATCTTTGCTCAAATCCACCACTGTGATCCACGAAATGAGTTCGACTTCGAACCTAACAACAGCATTGGACGGCACAACAGAGCCACCCCCACCAACAACACCATAGCCCAGATCAGCAGGCAATGTGAACAATGCAATCTCTCCCTTCTTCATAGAGACGACGCCATGGTCCAAACCCTTCACTACTCGACCCTGACCGAGCTTAATGGTGAGAGGCTCGTATCTGTCTCTGGTCGACTCGAACTTCGTCCCATCAAGCAGAGTTCCAACGTAGTGCACTAAATTCAAATTCCCACACTCAATGTCTCTAAAATTATAATATAATTAAACAAACAATAAATAATTAAAAATTTTGAGCTGGCACTTTACCAGTGGCTTCGTCACCAAGCTCGGGGGTTTCGTAGCCATAACCGCGCTTGAGGAGCTTCTTCTGGAGACCAGAGGTACCGAGCTCTCTCTCTTCGCCGACTTCGAGAGGCGGCGCTGATTCGATCACCTCGCCCGGCTCCTCATCGAGGTCGTCCTCGTTCTGAATGTCTGACACGTCTGTGGCTTTCTCGGCCTCCATGGTGCAATCGGAACTCCAAGCGACGGTAGCACGGAAGCTGTGATTTTTCTGTTGGTGAGATTAAATTAGAGTGAGGGGATGAGCCGACGAGGCTCGGCAGTGGGGCGGTTATGTGGATAAACAAAAATAAGGAGGGAAAAAAAAAACCCAGTATAGCTGCGCGGCTATACTCTGTATGTAAGTATATTCGGCTATACTCTTTGAAAAAAATTAGAATATTTAAATCGTATAGCCGAGCGGCTATACTATTTGAATAAATTCGAATATTTAAATTAGTATAGAGTATAGCCGCACTCTTCGAAAAAATTCGAATATTTATTTGTATAGCCCTTCGGCTATACGCTTTCAATAAATTGGAATATTTAAATCGTATGGCCGCGCGGCTATACTATTTGAATATATTCGAATATTTAAATAGTATCGCCGCCCGGCTATACCCTTTGAGTGAATTTGAATATTTAAATAGTATAGCCGCGCGGCTAAACGTTTTGAATAAACTCGAATTTTTAAAAGGTATAGCCGTTCGGCTATACGTTTTGAATAAATTTGAATATTTAAATAGTATAGCCGGTCGGCTATACGGTTTGAGTACATTCCAATATTTAAATAATATAGCCGCCCGGCTATACGGTTTAAATATATTGGAATATTTTTATTTTATTTTAATAAATTAGAATATGCCTATTTTATTTTATTTTATAAAAAAAATTTGTGTTTTTAGTTTAATATTTGTAATTAAGAAATATCTTAGCCTTATTTAATTATTATTTATTTCGTGAATAATTAGTATTTAAACATTTTAATTAATTTCATAAATTATATATAGTAATTAATTATTTTAAAATTTTTTTGGACTTTATTTTTAAAAAAATTCGTAAAAATTATTTTCGTTAGTTCAATATTTGTAATTAAGTAATATCTTAGCCTTATTTAATTACTTTAATTAGTAATTAGTTTTTAGTAATTATTTCTTTAGTGAATAATTAGTATTTAAATACTTTAATTAATTGCATAAATTACTTAATAAATAGTATTTAATTCGTTTAAATTCCTTTATGGACTTGAAAAACTATTTGTAATTAAGTAATATGTTGCCATAAATATTGCAGGGTTAAACCCATAAACTACCCTCAGTAAGCATTAAGTTTATTTATGTCACTAAATATTTGACGTTCATAATCCACAATCTATGTGGGGGTTTCTTATCGTTCATTCATGTTCTTTTGATATTTGCAGTTGTGGTAGTTTCGAAGACCTTTACAACAGCTGGAACTATCTTACTGGGCAAATTTAATTGAAAAAATCAAATTATTTTAAATCATAAATTGTGCGAATTATAAACAAAAAAACGAATCCATGTTTTCACACTTGGTGGCTCGCGACTTTGCAGGTGGTCCCAAAAACCCATAGATTTTTTATGAAGCTTTGACTCGTTCAGTTGAATAATGTGGACATCACAAGAAAGCTCTAGAAACAATAATAAACTTTTGGTTTGTCACAAGATACGACTTTCCAATCTGTCAATTTTCATTTAATAGAAAATTAGAAATATTTTATCATATTTATCTTCTAGCATTTTTGTTTTTTTTTTTGTATGTATTTGTCGTTGTGTGTTAGGTTAGGTCGATATAGAATATAGTAATTCTATATTTAGCATTATTAATCCAATTTTTTATGCGACTTGCTAACAAACAATCATAATTATGTATAAGAAATTCTCTTATGCGGAATCAATGTAATTATGTGTATGGCTTAAATTAAAGAAAATTATTTGAAAATGGGTTTATTTATATCAAAAGATCTTGACTTATCAACTTATTTCGAAGTTGACATCAAACCAACACATAAGGAGATCTGACATTATTACCGTGCGGACTCAATGTATTTTTTACTATTCCTCCATGCTTTCCTCCTTATTTATAATGGTATTCGCACAATAATAACGTGTGGATATCCTAATGAGATAATAACGGATTTTGTATAACACGCAATAAAAATTCATATCAAAATTAATTGAATTTAAGATAAACAAATTAATTACATATGTGTCATGGTTTTTGGAGTACAAGAATATTACTACGAGTGCTGCTATTTCCACCCCCTGTCCTATTTTCCCACCCACCTTATCTTCAAAATTTTAGAGACAAATTTACCCCTTTGTCAAATTACTTCTAAGAACTTAGGGAAAAAAAACATGTTTCACCCATTAAGAATTAAAAAAACTGAAAAATAAAAAATAAAAAGGAAAATTGAAAAAAAAAAAAAAAAACCTAACGCATTTTTGTTTTGCCCTCTTGAGTCAGCTGCCACAACCTCCTCTGTTGCCTTCTCAATCTCATCTCATCCACTTCATTGGTTGGAAGATAAATTTTGAATCTTCATAAAAGTAATTGGCAGTCTATATTCCCATTATATTACATATACCTAAACAGTATTTGGCTTTTTTTTAACGATATTTTCATTCTATCTGTATGGGCTTTTTGCTTCAAACATGTTGCTTTCATGGTGGATTACTGGGCAAGTGAGTTGTTCAAGTTTGTATGGGAAAAAAGAAGAAGCAAAAATTCAGCAGCCAACCACCCAACTACAACGCTGAAATTTTAAAGAACAGAAAGAGTTATTACTACCATTTTGCTATCTCACCTTTAAAAAGAAAACGTGTAACACCATTAAAAGAAAAATATTGGAATAATCTGGTATTCATCCAAAGTTTAAAAAAAAAAGGAACATTATGTGTAAATTGTAATATAATGTCAATTAAGCAATTAAAACCCAATTAAGCAATAACCCAAGTTTTTTTTTTCTCATAATTTTGCTTATATTTGCAGCAAAGTAGATAGGCTTTAAAAGTTGTCCTGAAACAGGATGCATATATACAAACAAACTCACTTCAAACTATCAAACCAGCTCTAATTTCAAAACCTGAATTTTGTACAAACACTTTTCAAGTTTCAATCACAGAAGAAAATGAATCAAAACCACAAGAAATTTCCCACTACAGAACGATCAGAAAGCAACACTTCTCTTTGTAACAGCATAGCTTCTGCTTCTTGGGTAGAACAAGTCAGGCTTGACATCACCAGCAGTATGTTCATCAAAATCAGCAGGCCCGTCTTCATCAATCCTTCCCATGGCCACGCTGCTACACTTGGGAAGCACAGCTTTTGATCCCATGGTGGTGGTTGTAGCAGATCGCTTCAGCTGCTGCTCTTTCAATATTGCATCCACATCAATCCTTGTTCCATAGCTTCTGGCAGAGGCAGCTCTGATAAGCTCTGAAAAATCATCACCACTGGCTTCACTCGACCCAGAAGTTGACCTAGAGCTGAAGCTTTTGGGAAGGCTTGAGGAAGGGAACTGGCCACCTGGGCCTCCCATGGTGTTGCCATAGCTCACTCTCTCAGCCACATCTGTCATGCTTCTCACATAAAAGTCCTTCGCTTTACTCAGAGCTCTGATGGGTACTGTGATGATTCTCATGAACTTGTTTTTGTTCTGTGCTTTGGTGCTTCTCATGTTGCACAACTTTTTTGTGTGACAAGATATCAGAATTGGTGATTGAGCAAAGGGGTTTTAGTGGGATTTGATTGTAATTGGGTTTATGAGGGAAATTTAAAAAATGAGAGAGAGAGAGAGAGAGAGAGAGAGAGAGGCAGAGGTGGGTTGAGAGGCAATGTGAATATATACGGTTTTGTGGAAGATGATCAAGAAACAACGTGCTTGAGTAAAGTGTGAACGAGGAGGTGGGTTTAGACTTTTCAAAACCCACGAGATTAGAAAAGGCAAAGAGATAAGAACAAAGAGGTGTGGTGTTCTAAGATTTTGGGCTTTTTTAATTAGGAATGTGAACTAATTTCTATTTTGTCTCTCTCTCTTTTTGTATTTCTTATGCAGTTTATTTCACGTGTATTAAATACAAAATATTGATATTTTACTTAAAAAGAGATTAAATAGTTTTTGAACACATTAAATACATAAATCTATGTACAAGTGGAATAATGTAACATAAACTGGATGAGGAATACAAGGATTAGTGATGTGGGCTAATGCGGCTTTTATCAGTTTTAGTTTAGTTTTTAACATGTTAGTTTGTTATCTTCTTGAAATTGGTACTTTAGATGTCTTTAATTGTAATGTTATCTAATAAAGTTTTTTTTATAAAAATAAATAAAAATTAATGAGGAATACAAGGAATGAAAAGCAAGAGGGAAAGAACCACAAAGTGTGGTGCGGTTGGCAAACTGCCACCTTCAATTGAGGAGCTATCTGGTGCCTCAATGGTAGGGGTTCGAAATCCGTTCGAAGCACTTTGTGGTTAGGGACAAGCCGAATCCCGAGTGAGAATTAGTCCCACTCTTCAAGTGTGGGGACACCTTGTGGTATTTTTATAAAATAAAAAAAAAGAGGTAAGAGGGAAAGGCGGTTTGCTTGCATTCTTAATTAATTTGAAATGATGAAGTAGGCCAAAATTGAAAAGACGGTTTAAGTTGACTATGGGGGTTTTCCACATTTGACTTTTTATTTATTTCTATTTTTATGTTGTTGTTGTTCCTCTCATCCATTTGATGAGTCATCTGGTGGCTTAATGGTCAAATTGCAAACCAACTACACGCTCATTTCTTGTAAAAGGAGCTTCTCTTCCATGGCAATCCTGTGCGTGCAAGTTAAAACAATGATCAACTTAATATAAAAAAATTCAATCATTTTTATTTCGGTCAAAATAAATAAATTCAGTCAATTGCTTGCCACTGCAATGCAATGACTGCTATCTAAAATTATTGAACATTTGAATCAGTGTTCTCCGCAGTGAGGCCATGGCAGACATTGACCCTGTCACACTATGAGTGCTCTTGACTGGTCTTGGTAATTTCATGAAAAAAAGACTTGGCGTGGGATAAAGTTTGAGATTTTTTATTTAAACCCCACACTTCTCTTAGTTCACCCCAATATTTAAATTATTAAGATGTAAGTTTTATTATTGTGTAAAAAGATAAAAAAAAGTCATCCAACTTAATACTTAACCCTAGTACATCTATACACACCCTACACACCCCACCACTCTTCATATTGAGTTTTACAAAAATACAAATTCTTCTACATCGTATTGCCAGAAACGTAGAACATTGACAAGCATGCCTCTTTAAAATATGTGTGGGAGTTGATGGAAAGACTTGTTGATTGTTTGGTTGTAATGATCTTATTCTCTTCCCTTTGTTGATTGCTTGGGCGTTGATTGCTTTTTTTTTTACTTTTTTTTTAATACATGATGTTTTGGTAAAACTGTTCTATTTCTCTAGAAAGTATTAAATTTCGAATTTGGGGTTCCATTTGTTTGTGTTTTTTTTTGGCTGGGAATAGTAATATTATTGTCACTTCTGGAATTCCAGTATGCATCTAAAATCATAATCCTGCTACTGCTACTTCAATAGTTCGGTTATTTTTCTTGTTGCTTTTCCACTATGATAAAAGCTTCAATGTTTTCTCCATTGGTGGTCGATCAGATGGCCTACTCCTAGTGCAAAGTGTCAATTTAATATTAGAATTATCTGGCAACATTCAATCGTTAAATTGACACTTGTGTTGCAGCAAATGAAACGTCAATATTAGAATCAATTTGTTCTCTACGTATCACTTCTGGAATTCCAATATGGGTAGCTTGAATTTTTCTTCATGTTATACTAAGGATAGCTTGTGGGGTTTAAATAGAAAATTTCTTTTATTTCTTATTTTTTCAGCTTGGGGTGTATTTAAGGGTTGTTTGGGAAGATAGTGAGGTTTTCTTAGAAATTGTGAAAATTTAAATTAAAAGTTGGGGTGAATTTAGAACATGGGGTGAACTAAGAGAAGTGTGGGGTTTAAATAGAAAATATCTAAAGTTTAGACCCAAATAAATAATAAACAAGGTTTTTTTTTTAAAAAAAAAAGAGGCAAAGAATTATGTGCTTAACACGAGTTAAATATTATAAAAGAAAATTGAAAGCTGGCCAACATATATATATATATATATATAATTTGTGGGCGCCGGTTGTATGCGTGTTTGGAAAAAATGATTAGGATATTGCAATCAAGTACCAATCACTTGAACATGTTTTTAACTGATATGGACATTTAAGTTTGACTTGAATAAAACAAGTATTATGACATTTCTTGTTTGTATGTTATTTGTTTGATACAAACGATAATTTACTTTAAATTAATTTAAATTATAAGGAGAGGGATTCAAACTCGGGTGTAGAGTGAGGAGCGCATCCGCTCTATCCAACTTGACTAAGCCTTATTTGTATGTTATCTAACGTGCCCAATCTTCTCAAATGTTCCACGAAATTATGATAAAAATTGAACAGAGACTTTTGACCAGAAAACGGCCCAAAGTTCAATAATTTGCTTCAAAGATTAGGCCCAAATTTAAAGGCCTCAAGGCCCAACCCAGATGGGCTTTTTCTTCTTTTGGTGGGTGCATGGAAAAAATACATGGGCTGCATTACGTATCTCATTTTCCACCACAAGTTTGTAGCAAGCAGATGTGTACATCTACAAGCCAAGAAGATATGATAGCAAGTACAATGCAGTCAAAATTTGCTCATCACTCTGTCGCAGGGACAAGCCCAAAAGACAATCAAAGACAAAGAGGAGCAAATTATGAAGGACCTAGGGCTGAAACTGGCGCTGCTGGTTAGCTTGGTTTCATCAATGGCTGTGATGGTGTACACGTGTCAGGCAGGCAGCAACCTCCACCCTCTGATCCTCATACCTGGGAATGGCGGGAACCAGCTGGAAGCCCGGCTAACCAGCAAGTACAAACCCTCTAGTCTGCTGTGCAGCCGTTGGTACCCATTTCAGAGGAAGAAGGACGGCTGGTTCAGGCTCTGGTTCGACCCGAGTGTCCTCTTGGCTCCTTTCACCTCCTGCTTTGCTGAGCGCATGACGCTTTATTATGACCCTGGTTTGGATGATTACCAAAATGCCCCTGGGATCGAGACCAGGGTGCCTCACTTTGGTTCCACCCAGTCCCTTCTCTACCTCGACCCCAGTCTCAAGTAAGCTGATTTGTTGCTTAAGTTAATTGTTTCAATAATTGTTGCCATAGAAAGATGGTCTTAAAAAATTTGAGAAATTTTCACTTGTCACAAAGTTTAGAATATCACTTATGCTGCACAAATGTTACATGAACAATGTTGCATTTTATCGTTTATAATATAATATTACTGAGATTGAGAGTATGACAACATAACACGGGTGTTAAAAATCGATTTTATGTTTGCCCTACTAGTAGATAACTACATTTGTATATAGGCGCATCACGGGATACATGGCATCTCTAGTGGAATCGTTGGAAAACATTGGCTATGTCAACGAAAAAACCCTATTTGGGGCCCCATACGATTTTCGGTATGGTTTGGCACCAGAAGATCATCCATCCCATGTTGGTTCCAAGTTCTTACAAGACCTAAAAGATTTGATAGAAAGTGCAAGCACCTCTAATGGAGGAAGGCCAGTAATTCTTGTGTCACACAGCTTAGGAGGCCTCTTTGCTCTCCACCTCCTCAACCGGAACACACCTTCGTGGCGCCGGAAATTCATCAAACACTTTGTTTCACTCTCCACACCATGGGGTGGCACCGTGGACGAAATGCTCACATTTGCCTCAGGCAACACATTAGGGGTGCCCCTAGTGGATCCATTGCTAGTAAGAGAAGAGCAAAGGAGCTCAGAGAGCAACCTTTGGCTAATGCCAAACCCTAAATTATTTGGTCGTAAAACCCTACTTGTAATCACCCCAAATGCTACATATTCAGCCAATGATATTCCACAATTTCTCAGTGATATTGGATTTGAACAGGGCGTTCATCCTTTCAAAACGCGGGTTTTGGGCATGATGGATCAACTGATTGCTCCCGGGGTGCCTATTACTTGTGTTTTTGGAAGTGGTGTGAAGACAGTGGAGACTTTGTTCTATGGAAACAAGGGTTTTGATGAACAGCCTGAGATTGTTTATGGGGATGGAGATGGGACTGTGAACATGGTGAGCTTAATGGCACATGAATCTCTATGGTCTGATGTGAAAAATCAAACCCTAAAAACCATCAGAATTCCTGGGGTTTCTCATACGGCCATACTCAAAGACGAAGGTGCACTTGAAGAAATAGTCAGAGAAATTTCTGGGATTAATTCCCAGCTCAGTTTAGTTGAGAATGTAATTAGTGTTGAGTGAATTTTGATCATATGTGGAAAAAGCACTGCAGCAGCACTATATCTGTCCCACATCGGAAATAAGAACAAAATTGCTCTTGATACCAAATGAGCAAATAAAACGGGATTTTTTTTTAAATTTTCTTAAATACATATTTGAATTTTTAATTGAGGGCGAATATTTTAAAAAGAAGAGCATAGGAGTTCGGGGAAGACTGGGAAGGCCCGTGGGGCGGGACCCACCAGAGCGTGGCTTTCATAAAGTGCCAGGCTGCCAGCTCGGTGGTTTGACCGATCCTGAGGATCTAAAGATTTGTAATTCACTTTCCTCAAATTAAAAAAATAAAATTGTAAAAAGAAAAAAGATTTATAATTTACATTTGCCTCGATTGGCAATTTTTGGCTTTCCGGTGTCCGGTTTGACCACTTTCAAGTCTTTGGACGATTGCACAGAGAGAGAGAGAGATGCACTTGCTTTCTTATGACCAATCACGTACTTCCACGTGGTTGGGAACCGTGCGTTCAAAGAGCCAGACACTTTTTCCCTGGCTTAAGTTACATTTAATTTATATTAGTTAACTGTGTGATTATATAAAATTATAATATAATCAGAGTGAGGACTGACTGGGAAGTATAGCTTTGACTAATAATATTCTTTGGGGAATGCTAGCAACATTCTCTCTAACCTTCTCCTTTGGACCTTCTCCATTTTTTGCTTGACATGTGTCATTCTCTTTACACTTAAAACAATGTCATTAATATATGATACAAGCTAACTTTTGATTTCCAAATTTACCCTTATTAAATGTATTCAATTTATCCAAAAAAAATTCACAACTTTCTTACACCTCATTAATTTTTTTACGTCAATTATTTTTTATTTAAAGAAAATGTCTACTTTTAAAAAAACAATGTCATTAATATATTATACAAGCTAACTTTTGATTTCCAAATTTACCCTTATTAAATGTATTCAATTTATCCAAAAAAAATTCACAACTTTCTTACACCTCATTAATTTTTTTACGTCAATTATTTTTTATTTAAAGAAAATGTCTACTTTTAAAAATAATTTAATTTAATTTAAAAAAAAAAAAGAGGAAATGTCCATTTTTTTTAACACAAGGGGTTTAGATAGAATAATTTTTTTACGTCAATTATTTTTTATTTAAAGAAAATGTCTACTTTTAAAAATAATTTAATTTAATTTAAAAAAAAAAAAGGAAATGTCCATTTTTTTTAACACAAGGGGTTTAGATAGAAAAAAAAAGGTCTAAATTTGACATTAAAAAAAAGGGACATCCTCTTTTTTTTAAAAGCATACATTTTCTTTATAAAAAAAATAATTGAAGTTAAAAAAAAAATAATAAGATGATAAGAAAGTTGTGAAATTTTTTTGGATAAATTGAATACATTTAATAAGGGTAAACTTGGAAAGCAAAAGTTAGCTTGTATAATATCTTAATTAAATTGTTTTAAATGTAAAGAGAATGACACATGTCAAGCAAAAAATGGAGAAGGTCCAAAGGAGAAGGTTAGAGAGAAGGTTGCTAGCATTCCCCATATTCTTTTCTCAACCTACAGGTGGACTGGTAGTGGTGACATTTCCTGTATTATTGGTATGTTTAGAGGTCCACATCTAGGAGCTCATAACGTGGATCTTCATATTAGTTATATGATTATTTCATTAAATTTAAGTGAAGTAACTTTTCACATGAATCGTGTGGTTAATATTGAGGTCTACATCTATATTCCATATATGGCACTCTCACCATAAAACGACATAGGGTTTGCAAATTACCAACTCATCTAAAAAACCAACCCATCAAATGCTCAATTGCCTTTTTGGGTTTGAATCTTCACATCTACAAAAACAAATCCTAAAAAATAGAGAGAGAAATTTAGACTTCAACAAGAGAAGACTTGAAACAATTTACAAAGTATATTAATTTGGAGAAAGATAAAAAATGTTGAGCTGACAAAGTGGGAAGAACATTGTGCAAAGTGGATTCCATTCATGTACTTACTTATTGGAATAGCACAATTATGCATTGGCAAACATCAATTTAAATCGTATTGCATAAGGTTGAATACACAGAGAAACAATATTAATTACTAAATCCACAAGAATCATTTTGTCAAAAAAAAGATACCAATTCACTTACAAAAAGAGTTTTTAAAGTTTGCACACCAACTTATTCCTTAAGAAAAATAAAAGTTCATATGAAAACATGAACAAGTGACCACTCATAACATGCTCATATATTACAATTTATATCCATTATCTTAATGTATTTCTTCAACCGTTCTATCAAGACAGGAAGAATCGGCATCCAACACCCAATCGATCTCTTGATCGTCCATCCCACTTGTAAGTTGCACTCATCTCTATCTATTCAAGATTTAGTGCCGACAAACATGGTGGAAGGTTTCAAGCACCCTTTTGTAACATTTTTTTGGTATATATAGAGAATTTTTTATAATAATAATAATTTATTTTTTTTCAAAAAAAAAGGAATAAAACAACAATTTATATCACTATTTTTTGGTCGATATAAAAAGAAAACTCGAACACCCTTTTATCCAAAGTCATTATAGAAATGTTGATTAAATTAAAGTTAAAAAAGTTTATTAGTTTATAATTTTAAATTTAATTACAGAATATAATTCAGTCAAACGACCTTTATTAAAAATAATTGAGTCAAAAACAACCTTTATCCTATCTGGGCATTGGTTGCGTAATTACATTGTCACAGATGCAGACTCTCTGCCTGCCACTGCATCTGCCTGCTTATATAAATTATACAGAATTGCATGAATATCGATAATACAAAAATAAATTACAAAAAACAAGAAGAAAAGATTATCATCAGATATTACTGTGTCTGTGACCAGAAACAAGGTATGACTGCACGTGTGGTGCACAGTTTGACAGGACTTGCAGAACCGGAGATAGCCGGTAACCCAGACACACACTGTCACACACACAAATCTATCATTTTCTCGAGGAAATTTAAGAAAATAATAATAATAAACAAATTTTTGGGGGTTTTCGTCACCTGCCCCCACAAGAAGACCTGCAGAGCAGTGGAGGAGACTGTGCAGAAGAAGATAGCTTTTTTTCTTATGCTTTTCTTTCGTCTGCCCTTCTCTTTTCTAACTTGCTATCATGGTATGGTTCTGAGCTTTCTCATTCTCACATGTCTTTGTTGTTATAATTCTTTCTGAGAAATTTATAAAATTCTTCTCTGTATTCTTTTTGGTCAGTTGCGTGAGTGCTGTTTGAGTGATATGAGTGAGTTTGGACCTTTTTGTCACTTTTGATTGCCCTGTTGCTTTTTTTCTTCCCTGATCTGGGGTTTATGATTTCAAACTTTTTATTGAGCTTGAAGAGGAAGTGAGAGCTTTGGTATTGGAGAAGAAGATTACTACTTCATGATGTGCTTGATTTGGTGATGATTATAATGATGGTTGTGGTAGTGGTGGTGAAGAAGAAGAAGGTGGGCCTTTTGACCATAGAAAGAGATCAGATAAAGCAAGGAAATGGGAGAAAAGATATCCCCTTTGGCATTTGATGGTCTTTGTTGCTTGCTTGTAATTGTCAATGAGAAGGTTTAGCCAAAGAGAGTAAAGGAAAGCAACAGTGAGAGAGAAAACTCTCCCTCCTCTCTTTTCCACACTTTCTCTCTCCATCTTCTTTTCTTTATCTCCTTTACTTTGCCACACGCTTCTTGCTGGGTGGATGTGATGGGACAGATTGGTCTTCAAGTGGAATTCTTGTTTTTTGGTGTCTTTGGATTTTGAGGGTCTTTAACTCTTTCTTATCCAAGCCAAGTGTAGTTTATTCGGTTTTCTTCTTGATTTGCATAAGGGGTTCTAAAAATGCCTATGTACCAGCCAACTGGTAGGAGAAGAGTTGGGGATATGAAGTTTGATGTGGGTAGTGGTGGCCAAGTTCTAGATCTGGACACTGCAGTGAAAGATGGGATATTGGGTGGTGGAGATGGGTTAATTTGTGGTGGTGGTGTTGGTGTTGTGGCTGAAAAGTTGGATCTGAAGAAGATGATTGAGGAGCTTGAGTCCATTGAGATTCCTTCAGTCTTCATTTGTCCAATCTCATTGGAGCCAATGCAAGACCCTGTAACCCTTTGCACGGGTCAGACTTACGAGAGATCAAACATTCTCAAATGGTTCTCTTTGGGCCACTATACTTGTCCCACAACAATGCAAGAGCTCTGGGATGATTCGGTCACACCCAACAAGACCCTTCAGCAGCTGATTTGCAGTTGGTTTTCACAGAAGTACTTGGCCATGAAGAAGAGGTCAGAGGATGTGCAAGGAAGGGTTTTGGAGATTCTGGAGACACTGAAGAAGGTTAAGGGCCAAGCCAGAGTTCAAGCTCTCAAGGAGCTCAGACAGGTAGTGACTGCTGCTCATGCATCAGCTAAGAACACAGTGGTGGACAATGGAGGTGTTGCTTTGATTACTTCTCTGTTGGGTCCTTTCACTTCACACGCTGTTGGGTCAGAAGCAATTGGGACACTTGTGAATTTGGACCTCAGTTCAGAAGCCAAGACAATTCTGATGCAACCGGCAAAGATATCGTTAATGGTTGATATGTTGAATGAGGGATCCATTGAGACCAAGATCAATTGTACGAAATTGATTGAAGTTTTGATGGAGGGCGAGGATTTGGAGTCAGAAAACGTCTCAAGCTTAAGTCTTGTGGTTGGATTGTTGAGGTTAGTGAAGGATAAAAGACACTCTAATGGTGTTTTGCCTGGTCTCAGTCTGCTGAAGACAATTTGTTCGCATGAGTCAGTCAGGAACTCGGTTGTGAGCGTCGGGGCAGTTCCTCAATTGATTGAGCTCTTACCCAATTTGAATCATGAGTGTTTGGAGTTAGCCCTTCATATCCTAGAAGTTTTGTCAACGCTTCCTGAGGGAAGGCAGGCTTTGAAAGATTGTCCTAAGACAATCCCCAGTGTGGTTAGGCTATTGATGAAGGTTTCAGAGAGCTGCACTCAGCTTGCATTGTCAATCTTGTGGGCGGTTTGCAAGCTCGCCCCGGACGAATGCGCTTCGCTTGCTGTGGAGGCAGGTTTGGCAGCCAAGCTGCTTCTTGTAATTCAGAGTGGTTGCAATCCTGTATTGAAGCAAAGGGCTGCAGAGCTCTTGAAGCTGTGTAGTCTAAATTACACTGCCACAATATTCATTTCCAAGTGTAAGCTTACTAGAACAATACAATGAAGAGAAAAAAAAAAAGGTACTTTGTTGATATACATTCTCTCAATTTTTCATTGTCCCAATGGATAAAGGAGCCAAAGAGCTTGTGGGATCCAAGAAAATTCAAGACAAGTCACTTGTGGTGTTTCTGAGGTACCCTTCTTTATTGTGTATACTAAACATCTTTGATGGGATCAATTGTTTCCACCACCAGAAGCATCATAATGTGGATCAATTTGGGCACTGTATCAAAATTTGCATACCTACAATTCCACTGTCTATAAGCTGGCCTTTTTGCCAAGAAGCTTCAACAATTTTCAAGCCAAATTGAGTTCTTTTTGTTTGTTGTCTTGTCAACAATGGTTACAGATAGGTTGCTTGTTTCTTCATGTCCAAACAAGAGAGTGGCTTTTATCATGTATCTGTAAAGGAGTTGAGTGAAGGGAAAACTTTACTGTAATTGTAGTTTATGTTGCTTGGCCTGTGCAGCCCTATTGATTCTCAGTCATATTTCCCTCTTGTAAAGTTCTAGGCAGATTTGGATTTTGCAGGGTTCATTCGTAGAGCCTGTTGGGCACAAGATAAAGTCATGTACAATGAGCATTGAACACTAAATTTTTAATTTTTACATGATGGTTTTTGAATTTGCCACAACTTTAGAAATTCCCATTCACTCATTTATGTTTGGCACTGTGCTGTTCTGATTTGCATTGTCCTTTGATGACTTGAGAGAGCTGACTGGCTGAGAGATGGGTGGAGGAGAGGAGGGGCCTTTTGTGTTTGCTTGTTTTGTTTGCCTTCCCTTCATTTATTGGATGCATTGACTGGCAACAGGGCTGTGAAGGAGGACATTGTTTTACTCTTTGTGGAAAAGCTGCTACAGAAACAGGGGGTTTCTTGATTCATACGTGAACGAAAAGTTAAGTGAGAAGGGAAAACAAAACTGACTGAGCTTTAATGAAAACCCCTAGAAAAAATTATATCAGAGAAAAATTAGCCAACTAATCCCAAGTCCTATCAAAATCATTGATCATAATCTTAGGATGATATTGCAATGCTTTTTGGATTCCCAAAGTTTCAATGATTTTTGTTTTTGTTTTGGTTTTAATATTTTGGTGTAATAAATTTAAAATTAAAATGCGAGGCACTTATTGCTTAAGTGGTCAAGTGCGGTTATACTGCACTCGAGATAATGCGTTTGAATCCATCCTCCTCTAATAATAATAATAATTAGTACTTTGCAGTTGAAAACATGAAACTAGATGAAGCATTTTAAGGGCCCTCAAAGTCACTTTTGTTGTCACGAATGGGCGCACATGGACAAAGCCTTGGGCCCTTGGCAATGAAAAGAAATTTGTTCAAGAGGGGAAAAAGAGAGCATTGAAACCTTGTCTACCTGAAAAGCAGAGAGGACAAGAACCAAAAATTCTTTTGTAGCATTTGCAATTGCAACATGGCATCTTTGAATGGAAATAATGCCGGCCAAAACCAAAAAGACTCGAAATAATGGAAATATAAATATTAATGATAAATAATAATTTTGAGTCGTTCACAATACTTCGGTGAAAATTACATAGTTGTCCCTCAGCCTGCTGCTTCAATTATTTCTTGAAAAATATTCACCTCCAAAAACATATTTTTTATTTTGTCAAGTTACCTGTAATTTATATTTTTTATAAAATTTTATACATAACATACATATATACATTTCACAATTGGAACAATCATGACTACTGAAGCTTTAATGCATTAAGTTTATTTATTTATTTATTTACAAAGTGATATTCTAAACTACTATAATATACGGGAAGGGGGATTGAATTCGAGTGCAAGAAAGCAAGCACACTGTCTTAACCAACTGACCTAACTCATGTATGCATAATGTAAAATTGAATTCAAAGTCGGGCCACAGATTAAAATTTGAATTTACTCGAGCCCAAAATCTACACAGTGCAATAAGCCCAAAATCCAAATCAACCATGGGCTTACAGCTTGGAAAGTAAACTTCATTCACCTGTTTCCGTAGCCCATAAAAAACTTTCAAATTTATTTTATTTTATTTGGTCCAAAAGGTGTCTGTGCTTTAGTCCGTTATAATCTTGGAGCTCATATGATTGGATCCAATATCATACCTGGATCTACCTAATCATATATTTATCTTGTGCCGGACAAAATAATTTGGTTTTTCACTCCGGCACGTGCACACGTGGCATTTTTCTATAGCTCTACCACTATCGACAAGGATAGTTCGTAAACCAGCGGATCCAATACCCGCACTTTCCACTGCGCCCGTACCTTTTTTGAACGTCCCATTTTCCAATCCGTCACTTTCTTCCTTCCTCCAAAAAAAAAAAAAAATGTCATGGCTCGCACGCTCGCTCGCTGACTCTCTACGGCTTGACGACGACGGTGGTGCCGAGAATGACGTCGTACCGAACAACAACGACAAAGCACCAATCTCACCCACCACCGACACCAAACCCCAAGAAGATGACAATGGAAGGAGTGGAATTGAATCTGCAGACGAGGAACAAGACGACGCCCAAACCCGAGGCGTGAAGGATGACCTCGACGAATTCAAACAAACCCTGACCCGCCAATTCTGGGGCGTCGCTACCTTCCTCGCGCCACCGCCTTCGGACCCCTCCACGCTGTCCAATCGATCAGGTCCCGATTTCGATCGATCTGAGCCGCCCGATAATCGGCCCGAGCAATTGGCGATGGATTTGATTGAAGACGAAGAGGATGCATTGGAAGAGTGCGCTGTTGGGGTCACTGAGGAGGTCCTGGCTTTCGCTAAAAACATAGCGATGCATCCAGAAACGTGGCTGGACTTTCCTCTTGATGAGGAAGAGGACTTAGGCGGTATGTATAGATAGAAATATGTACACAAAATGATATGCATGTATTGTATGTATGAATGTAGGTCTCAGTTCTCATTGGTCAATTTAGAAGTGTGGAAAATTCGATGCGGTTAAAATGTACATTGCATAATCTTCTTCAAATTATTGACTACAATGGGGGATATCAAATTCGATGCGGTTAAAATGTACATTGGTTTTTTGCAAATCTTAAATTAGGAATATAAAATTTGCTCTTTACCAATGGGGGATGTTATGCACAATGCAGTTGATAATAGTTGCAGAAATTTCAATGAGTTCATGGTGAAATTGTTGGAAGGGGAGTTTGATTACATTGGACAAAACCCTTAGTTTTGATATTATCTCTTTCCTGATCAAACTTATTGCTCTTTTTTAATCATGTAGTTCGGTGGTTGGTGCCTAATTCATACACCTTTCTTATTTTAGATTTTGAAATGTCTGATGCCCAGCAAGAGCATGCTCTGGCGATTGAACATTTTGCTCCAAGATTAGCTGCTTTGAGATTTGAACTCTGTCCATGCCATATGAGCGAGAGTTACTTCTGGAAAGTCTATTTTGTGCTTCTGCATTCGAGGCTCAATAAGCAGGATGCGGAGATTTTGTCCACACCCCAAGTAAGCTTCCCTTTTGTATATAGTGTCCCTCAAATAATTGATTAAGTTTGATGCTGTTTCAAACATAGGCCTTCAGATTCTGAATGAAAGTTACTACTATAGTGGAATTAGTTTACAGGATTTTAGTACCATACCATGTAGTGTATTAAAGTGGGAATTTGTGCTTCGTGCCAATTCTAGAGTTGCAGCCTTCCATTTGTTTCTTCTTATCCAAGGCCAAACTTCATTGTATCTCACAAGTTCTTGTTGCTTTTGGTTAGCTTGAACTCCTCCATTAGAGTTTGCCAACTTTTCCAGGCCTGGGTTTTGATAGTTCTAGATGTTCATTCAGGCATGTTGGATATTCATCTCTAGAAGAGTTCAACTTCAATACTTTATTTAGGTTACTGTTTGTCTTGTTAAGTTTGTTGAAAGAGGAGAGATAAGAGGTTAGTCGGTCTGTGGTTCTAAATGAAGTTTGTTTCAAGGCTGTTAGTGTATTTTGTTTTGATGTCTCAAGTTTTGTTTCCTCATGGGGGAATAAAGTTAGGATTTCGAAATTCTTGACTAGATAGATGGTTTCAGAAAAATTGGAATAAATTGGAATAAATTTTGAGACCAAAGTTTTGTTTGCACTTTTTGATTGAGCAATTGCCTGGTATATATTTCTTTTCTGAAATTTCATGCAGTCTAACATATTGGTTGCAGGTAATGGAAGCCAGAGCAAAGTGGATGCAGGAGCTACAATGTCAGACTATGTCAGAATACGAAGGATTTGGAAGAAACACGTCTTTTCTAAAAGACAATTCTAACATACCAAATGACGATTTTGTTCCGGTCTCATCCTGTAGTGTTTATTATGAGGACAAGCTGCTAAGGACACATCCTTATGAATCAACCATGTCCTCCACAGTCCATGAGACTGAGAAGCATCCAGTTGAGAGTAATGAGATGCCATTCATTGATAAGTCTGTTATTGAAGAAAATCCCATCATTAAGACAGAGGATAAGAATTTAACAGTTGGTCCATCCTCTAAGATACTAGACAATATCTACGAAGATGATGAGGATGACTGGCCAGAGGAAGATTCTGATTTAGACGGATATAGTGGAACGGCTATTCATGTGGTAAATGAAGAAGACATATCTTTCAGTGATCTCGAGGACGAAGATTTCCTTACACCCACAAAACTCAAGATTGTCTCAAAGGAATAAGAAACCTCAAGGAAAGAGAGGTTAATCATCGGTACGGTGCTCTGCTCATTGGATAAAAGATGGAACCTTAAGTCATCTGATGAACACCGGTGGTGAGGACTTGTATATCACTTGTCAATTGCCCTGCCAAAATAGTCATACACTAGGACTCTTCTATGCACCTGCAGATTGTTGTACTGAATAGTCCTGCACTGGGACTCTTCTAAGTCGTTGCTGATTACCCTACGGAATAGTCCCACACCGGGACTCAAGCCTCTGGTGATGCAATTTGTTCTGAATACCAATTTGTACATGATGGGTTGCCACCTTGTCATTGAAGTCTTTACAGAAAAGTATATGTTTTGATTGATTGTGATAGGATTGTAATTACAATATTTAGGGATTTTGAGAGAGGGTACAAGAGGTCATTTCATTAATGAATTGCCCCAATTTCGTGTCTTTAAAAGAAAATTTGCAAGATGAATGTATTACCATTGGATCAATAAAACCAATTTTGCCTTTCTTGTTGTATATCTTCTGCATATATCATCATTTTTAGGAATTTTGTGTTGTGCTATATTATGTAAATCCTCTGCTTCATCAAGCCACCCCCATTACAAAAGGTTTCAAACCTTGGAAGACAAATAGAAAGGGAAAGGAAACCCAAGAAAACTATACACCACATGTTAAAAGGAATAAACACCACCACCCCCAGCTTAATCTGATACAAACACAATTTCTTCAGCTCTACCGTCATCGCCAACATCATCAATAATAATAAAAGAGGGAAAAAATATACTCTTGAAAGAGCAATACCTAAAATAAGTCTGCTATTCAATAAACTGCTAAACTGGTATGACATCATTCTTTGATGCATCACCACATCTTAAAACAATACCCTCAAGTCTAGCGGGAAAGATATATTTGGCCCACTAACATCCTGTCGTGATTGGCTCAGGGGGAGGAACAATCATCAACACAATGTCATTTCTTTAAATATTCAGCACTTGTCTCGCCTCCTTTGTATATATTTAAACAGTATAGCCGAGCGGCTATACATTTTAAATATTCTATTTTAAAATATTATACTCTTTAAAATATATATATTTAAAGAATATATTTCAACATTACACCATCAATAAAACACAGCACACTGCCACGCTCAGATTTTCACTACTTATCCGAATTCCAAAAGAATTGGCAGGATAAAAGTTAAGTATGCATCCAGCATCTCCAGTGCTCTGAAGATATTAGAGGCTCGTTTGGTACACCGTATTAGATTCTGGATAGGAGTAAATAGTCTATGTTAGGTGTTTGGTGTGAACTTGTATTATTCAATTACCTGACTATTTTATACGGGTTGGGCTTTTAATACTCTCCTTACCTGACTAATTAATACAACCCACACACCCCGGTTTAGATAATACACGCTTAATTATACGGCTAGGGAAAAAGAACACGTAGAAAAATCAGACGCTCTTTTCATCTTCTTCTCCGTAGGGTTCTTCTCTGCTATCTTCTCCACAAGTTATTTTCTTCACTCTTCTCCAGATATCCATCTCTCACTCTCTCTCTTTCTTTCATACTCTCTCCAATATGATTCTTCTTGCTTCTTCTCTCTTCTTTTTATATTTTATATTTTATTGAATTTTTGTGGAAATTACTTCGGATTGATGCTTTTGTTGTGGGTGACTATCGAAGCGAGTTCTATGAACTCCCATCATAACCTCATCTAGGCTAGCCCCTACCCAATTAGGAATATCAGCAAAGGAAACAAGTCCCAAATCAAAATTGAAACTCCCATTAGCCAAGCAGTCTACAACCATTTTCTTCTCTCTATAGACGTGCTTCACCACACAATTATCAATTTGATGCATAAGCTCCCAGCAACTGGATAACAAAGTAGCCAAATGATGTAAACTAAGGAGATTGGAATCTTGAAGGAGTAGAACTGTCGTAGTAAAAAAATTCGTGACATTTGAATTTCAATTTCCACTTAAATTATTAAAGAATTTTTTTTAAAAAATTGTTTGATATGATGTTATCCGGAATAACACCAAACACAGTATAACTTAGTCAGACTATTTATCCGAAACAGCACCAAACGGCTTATAATATTATGGATAAACAGTCAGTACTCTCCGGAACAGATTAATACTATTCGACAGAAATTAGTCAGTACAGTCCAACAAAAATTAGTCAGTACAGTCCGACAGAAATTAGTCAGTACACAACTTAAAAACAGAAACCTTTGCCATTACAATCTTTACCGTTAGATGGTAGTCAACCTGTACATCTTTACTTGACTTAAAAAAAAAAACCTGTACATCTTTAACCTAGAGTGGTTTCAGAAAAGAAAGGTATGAACTCGCCTCTTCCGTATATATTTAAAGGGTATAGCCGCTCGGCTATACTTTTTAAATATTCTAGCCGGGCGACGGCTATACTCTTAAAATAAATAAATATATATATATGGCTAAATTGTAGCAATGGTTTCTGGACTAAAACCAAACTTTACTTTTCGTCCCTCATATTGCTAAATTGTTACAATGGTACTTTAATTATGCAGAAATCATCATTTCCGTCATCTCAGTCAACTTTTTTGTTAAAAATGATGATGTGGCATGGACAAGTCCTATTTGGCATGGGCAAAAATGTCTTTGTCCTGGTTGGGAGCTCAAATTTGGATATGTTGTAGTTAACATCCATTGGAACAAGTTTCATGAAGATCTTCACCTCATCCGAGCACCAGAGCATGTTGATCCCAGGCCAAGAAGTTGACCTACGAAAATGAACAAAAACAGAATTTATAACCAATAATGCACTTTTAGCTCATTTTCATTCTAACCAAGGTAAAATCTAAGAAAACACAAAAAGGAAGTAAAAAGCTATAAAATGTCAAGAACTAACTCAAAATAATAGGTGAATAACATGAAAAATCATGTGTAAAAATGAACCGAACAACATAGCCAGCCCTAAAACCAGCAACAAAAACAAAAACACTCTTCTCTTCCCCATATTTACAACTTAATATTATTTGGGTTACAGAGACAGTGAAAAACCCAGTTGAGATTTGAGAAAATTAGCAAGCACAGATATATGGAACCATGAGATTTTCGAAGGAAAAATTCTCAATTTATGTTCCTTGAGAACTGAGAAAATAACGAGAAAGAAGAGTGGATTACATGAAAAGACAAATATACCCTTATTTTTAACGGAAAAGTTGACTGAAATGACGGAAAGAACGATTTCTGAAAGTGGAGCATAAATAAAGTACGACTGTAACAATTTAGTAATATGAGGGACGAAAAGTAAAATTTGGTCTTAGTCCAGGGACCATTGTTACAATTTTGCCTATATATTGCACCATCAATAAAAATCTGGATTTCTCTGTACCATAAACCCAAAAAACTATTGAATTTACTTTACTGCCACCACTAAACCAAATTCTAGAAAGAAAAAACTAGTCTTAATTTTCCTGAAAAATCACAATCAAACCCCTAGTTTCCCAACGTATTGGAGTCAGAAAATATAAAATTATGAGCAGAAGATGAAATATAACCAAAGATATTGTGGCAAAACAGAGTAACCCACCAAGGTAAATCTTTCGATCCATCAGAGCTAACTGCCAAGTCAACAATGGTTGCGTTCATTGATGCAAGTTCTAAGGCCGGCTAAATTTGACCCGGGTCCGGCTCATTGAAACGGCCTTGGTTTACCATGAAATTTCATGGACCGCCAACCACACCCAAAAAGTTGAGTTTTGGGCTACGAAATGTTTTGGTTGGCCTTGACCCACTGAGGGTTTAGAAAATTTTAATTAATCCGCTGCCACATGTAAGGAAAAAAAATCAAACTGTCGCGTAAGCAAATGTCATGGCTATGAAAGCTCTTGTTCATCTGTTAAGAAAAGTTTACAAGTAGCATTACTTATAATTGAAGTAATTAAGCAAAACATTTTGGCATAATGTTTTATCCAAACATTGTAATCGGAACTCTAATTGCAATGTCAAGGCTTTGATTGTTTTGTTAGCAAGCTTCATTTGGGTGTTTGTGTTTCTAATCGAATTTTTAGTTCTCATTTTTTGTGTCATGCATTGTGATTCCACAATTCTAGTCTTGTAAATGTGAAACTCTAAAATTGGAAACATTGAGAGAGGATTAAGAGAGGAGAATCCGATTCTATAATAAATGGCCACGCTTTTTAATTGAAATCATATGAAGAAAACAATCCCAATCCTCTAAAACAATTAAGGTAAATACCGTGTGTTAATTATTACATTGCATGAGTGAAGGCATGAAATCTATATATATATATATGTATGTATGCGCATCTCATCTTCATTTTAGGTTCTATATCTATCTGCCCTCTTGGTGTTACTCTTGCTTTCAGAAAAAAGAAAAGAAGGTTAAAAACTCAAGTGGAAAAGATGAGTTACTATGATTCCAAACCTCAACCAGCCCCCGTTATTGCTCCCCCTCCTCAGGGTACCGTGTACCGTGTATATATAGTCCCCTTATAGTGAAAGATTTGTCAAATATTTGGGGGGAAATATTTACAACTCAGTTGCAGTGATCAGTTAGATTTTTCATACTTGTTTGGATACAAACAATGGGTTTATAATTTTAATTGAATAGTCATAGAAGTGTGTATATCTGGATCAATCAAATGGGTTGTACTTGTTGTAGGTTATGGTGGTTATCCTCCACCTGGATATACAGCACAAGGCTATCCTCAGCCTCCTCCGCCGCCTCAAGTAATTTATCAACCTCCTCCTCCACCACCACCACCAACAGAAACACAGTCTAAATCTAAATCCAATAATGGTTGCTTGCAAGGATGGTAATTAACTATATCTCTTCTCTCTCAAAAAGGTTAATATTAATTAGTGTGTTTACATGACTAGGGAATTGTTTAATCTGCAGTTTGGCTGGTCTTTGTTGCTGCTGCTGTATGGAGATTTGCTTCTGAAAAGGGTGCTTCATTTCATACATTTGAATTTGATCTTGTAGTGTTTGCTGTCATTGAATTGAAATAATCATATGAAGTTTCATGAGACCATATCATAACTTGTTTTGGAATTTTTTGGCAATCAATCGAAGCGGTAAAACTTTTGGATCACTGACGATTGCGGTTAAAAATAAAATATGCTTTTGAGCCGTAGGATTACAATCGAATTTATGCCTTTAAAAATTTCATTTGCAATAAACCGAAATGAAAATTTTCATTTTCAACCCCCAAAAAAAAAGTGCTGGATACTTTTCTTTAAGATCTTTAAGAATTTTTTTTTTTTGGTTGAATTTAAGAAAATATTTGGGGACATAAAATTTGAACAAGTGGGCTAGATTTAAAATAAAATAAAAATCCTTCGTCACTTAAAAAAAATACAAGATGTTCCGGGTCAATGCGGTTTTTCAGTTATTTATCGTCGCGGTTATTCTATCCATTCAGCGAACGAGGCCATTTAATTAATAAAATAAAATAAATATTTATGGCGGGGGCGTCCAGCTTGAGACTGCAACGTCCGCCGTCTCCTCGCTCTCTCTGACACACACAAATCGATCATGTAAAAGTCACAATGGTTCGTCTTCTCATCGAGCTTTAGTTTTAATTTCTTCAATCAATATATGGTCTTTGTATTTATTGCGATTTCAAACCCCAGAAACCCTAGAATTTATCGATCCAAGAATCGATATTTAGTCCCCAATCCATTGGACCACATCGACACCCCATTTCGTCAATTATTGTCAGTTGATTTCCCAAGATCACCTTCAAAATCCCAAGCTTTTAGGCTTTCCTCTGTGTTTGAGCTCAAATGGAAGTTGGGCTAGTCACGAAAGGCTTGAATTTCTCTCGGCGGAGAAAGAGATGGCTTTTCGCACTTGCAGCTCTTGGCGTGTCCGGTTATGGTGCTTATAGGGTTTATAACTTGCCCTCTGTGGTCAAGAAGAGGAAGAGGTTCGTGAAGCTCTTAGGAGCCCTAATTTCTGTGGCCGAGATGGTCTCTGATTCGGCTGAGACGATCGGTATTGTCTCCAAGGACTTGAAGGAGTTTCTACGTTCTGATTCAGACGAAATGCCCCAGAGTTTAGTGCAAATTTCGAAAATTGCGAGGTCGGAGGAGTTCTCTGGGTCGCTGAGTAAGCTTACAGAGGCTATGACGGTTGGGATTGTTCGAGGGTGTAAATTGGAGATGGAAAATCAGAGTGAATCAGAGACGGGTTTGGGGAATTCGAGCTTTGCCGATAGGGTTTTGGAGAAGGTTTTCTCTACAGCCGGGACAGGGTTCGTTTCTGTTGTGGTTGGAAGCTTTGCGAGGAATTTGATTATGGGTTTTTACTCCAATGATCAATCAGTCGATAATTCCAGTTCGTCCAGGTCAAGTTTATCGGATGTGCCTAGATGGGTTAATGTGGTTTGCAGTGATAGAAGTAAGGAGCTCATAGCAAATTGCATACAGGTTTTCGTAAGCACTGCAGTTGCAGTGTACCTTGACAAAACGAAGGATATCAATTTCATTGATGAAATGTTTGATGGATTGACCAATTGCAAGCATCAAAACAAAGTAAGGGACGTTCTGGTTTCTCTTTGTAATGGTGCTGTGGAAACGGTCGTCAGAACTTCTCACCAAGTTTTGACGAGTTCAAATTCGAGTTCAAGCTCAAATTCGCGTTCTTTCTCCATTGTTGATCAGAATGAAGGTCTAAGTGGAACTACAGACCAGTGCTTGGAGCAAGAAGTATCTGCAGGGCAGCCTACAGCCGGGACAGGGTTCGTTTCTGTTGTGGTTGGAAGCTTTGCGAGGAACTTGATTATGGGTTTTTACTCCAATGATCAATCAGTCGATAATTCCAGTTCGTCCAGGTCAAGTTTATCGGATGTGCCTAGATGGGTTAATGTGGTTTGCAGTGATAGAAGTAAGGAGCTCATAGCAAATTGCATACAGGTTTTCGTAAGCACTGCAGTTGCAGTGTACCTTGACAAAACGAAGGATATCAATTTCATTGATGAAATGTTTGATGGATTGACCAATTCCAAGCATCAAAACAAAGTAAGGGACGTTCTGGTTTCTCTTTGTAATGGTGCTGTGGAAACGGTCGTCAGAACTTCTCACCAAGTTTTGACGAGTTCAAATTCGAGTTCAAGCTCAAATTCGCATTCTTTCTCCATTGTTGATCAGAATGAAGGTCTAAGTGGAACTACAGATCAGTGCTTGGAGCAAGAAGTATCTGCAGGGCAGCCAAAGGAGGGAACTTCATGGGATGTTATTCAGAGTAGTGGGTGGGTCGGCAAGGTTTCATCTACATTGGCAGTGCCAAGCAATAGGAAGTTTGTTCTTGATGTGACAGGGAGGGTGACATTTGAGACAGTACGTTCTCTTGTTGAATTTATGTTGTGGACGGTGTTAGATGGCTTGAAAAGAAGTGTTAATGTACTTCATGGGGAGGTTGAAGACAGGGGATTGCAAGTCATCAGATACTTCAGTGGAAAGTCGTCCGTTATAGTTACCATATGTCTTGCTTTGCATTTATATATCCTGGGCGGTACTAGAGTTTTCTTCACTGCTTAATTTGATGGCTTTATCTCTCCCTTGTGAGAAGCTCCTGTCAGGGAGGTATGGCTCCCCTTGGGGAAGGTTATGTATGTATTGTATATCTCTCTGTTAATTGAAGGGGATAAAAAGGGGTTTATGACTTCATGGTGATGCATGATTTGAGTTTCAGGAAAATTTATTACCTTTTTGTCCGTGAATTTTTTATTTTAACCTACCTGAGTAAATGTATCTATACATACATGTCTGACTGTTGCCGGAGTGCATCTTAGCTGTTCATCTGTTTAAATCTGGAAATGGAGAGTTGCGGGTCCAAGACTCCAAGGTGTCACCATATATGCTTGCCGTTCCCCCTTAATATGGATAATATGCTAGTTTTTGAACTAAAGACTGAGAATGCTCTGTGATTATGTTTGACTTGTTAGCTACTTAAGAATTCAATCTCATATACTAATCTGCATGTTGACTAGAAACATTAGGAAATGTGATTACGTACTCTGGAACTATACCTAATTTAGTGTCTGTGGGAGAAATTAGATTTGTGTAGGAAATGGATGATTGAAGCAGTGATCAATGCCTGCTGCAGGGAATAATGTAGTTATTTGAAACCAGTAATGATTCTTTTCCATTAAGGTAATCTGAGATACTTTATAAATGGGAAGTGGAATTGGATTGTAACAGCCAATTGAATTCATTGATAAATGGATCAAATTGCCACTTTCAGGACATCCTGCCATTGCAAAAGCTTGGTGCTAGTGATGGCCTCTGTTCCCTTTATTTGAGGTGACAGACATTTGAGTTCCTTGACCCCTTTTATCAAACCATTATATTTTGTATATGTTAGAGTTTCTGCTTCAAGCCGGGCTGGGCAACTCGTGCTCTGTTTCAAACATCCAGAGAGAAGTATAAGTAATTCCAAAGAAATTCCCGTTTGAGTAAATGGCCATTCAGAAATTGTTGTAAAGCTAACACATTTGTATAACTCCAACAAATTCTCCTTGTGCTTAATTAGGTCATTTTCCAATCATCTTCATGGCTTACGGGATTTTGAATCTGTGATGACAGGATTGTGGGTTATGAATTTTCTTCTTTGTGAGTTCAGATCAGATGCATGCGCCGCACCAGATGGAATCAGTATGTCAAATGGTGGTGGTTCAAAATGCATTAGTTTATCCTAGGATTTTCTCAAGGCAGCCAGCAAAACCCATTTAAACTTTTTATTTTATTATATCACAGCCGTGTTTGACACTCAGCTTTTCATCATGCTTTTCGTGCTTAGCTAATATGCATTGTTTACCACATTTTCATCATGCTTTCATTGACCATCGTTGACCACATATGAACAGTGTTTTAGTGACATCTACTCCCTCTCCACCAAGCTGCAATCTTATTCGCACTTGAGCTTCTTGGTAACTTCCTAGTGGATTGATTGAAACATTTCCTATCAGCCTCCTTGCCATTTTCCATGCAACTCTCTTAGTTACTTTATGTCATGTATAAAAGAAAATATTGTTGCTAAACGAACCCTAATTACCTTGTGCACCTTATGATTTAAGTATATTTTAATATTTAAATTAAAATATAAAATTAACTAAGTATACCCTATTTAATTACCAAAAATATTCCTAGTACACCCTAATACACTCTATCACACAACACAAAACTCATTCATTAATTTAAATATTAGGTTGATGATGACACCAGTAAATACCGATGAACACTTAGTAGTGGTTGGTGAACAGCCGATAATTTTTTAGAATTTTATGCTGTGAACTTATGAATAAACTATAAAGGCACTATATATATAGGTAATAGGAAAGTGAAAAATACAAGTTGCCCAATAGCTTAAAAGGTTCTCTGAACAGCGTTGGCAAATACTATTATGCGATTTTCACCTTCTGATTGTAATAAGATTTGAAATTTCTGTGGAATTATCTCCTTGCCTAATATTCTTTTACTACTTTGTGGGAATTGACTGCATTTGTTGATGAACTATGTATGCCGACCATACATGGCATAGAAGAATAAAGATACAATATTGTGTTTTTGCTTCTTCTTTTTTTTCATTATGAAATTTTCTGGAATAACTTTCACTTGGGGTAAAGTCCTGAATTAGAATTGAATATGGTGAGTAGGCTGTTTAGGGTTTGTTTAGCATCACTTAAAGAAAAATGTGGCAAAACAATGGCTAGCAATTTATTTTACTTGATTGAAAATTACATATTACATCGAGATTTCATTTATAGTCTAAAACAAATTTGGTTTATCAACTAAAATGAGGAGTTAGTAATTTCTTAATTCCGATCCCCCAACATTGCTAAGATAAAGAAACCATGCACCAAAGTCCGCAGTGCTCGACTTTTCAGTGTAAATTTTGTACCCGCAAAATGGAAGCTCATGACTTGTCGTGTATTTAACCTTTACTAGCAAAATGGGAACCAATTTCGTGTTGCTCAAAACACATTACTAAAAAAGGAAATCATGTCTAAGTTTAGTCAAGTTGGCTATAGTGGATGTGTTCTCTACTCTATACCCGAGTTCGAATTCCCCTCTCCGTAATTAGATTAGGTTAAAGTATAATATCGCTTGTATAAAATAAAATAAAAAATAAAGTGACATCTACTCCCTCTCCACCAAGCTGCAATCTTATTCGCACTTGAGCTTCTTGGTAACTTCCTAGTGGATTGATTGAATCGAAACATTTCCTATCAGCCTCCTTGCCATTTTCCATGCAACTCTCTTAGTTACTTTATGTCATGTATAAAAGAAAATATTGTTAAACGAACCCTAATTACCTTAGTGCATCCTATGATTTAAGTATATTTTAATATTTAAATTAAAATATAAAATTAACTAAGTATACCCTATTTAATTACCAAAAATATTTCTGGTACACCCTAATACACTCTATCACACAACACAAAACTCATTCATTAATTTAAATATTAGGTTGATGATGACACCAGTAAATACCGATGAACACTTAGTAGTGGTTGGTGAACAGCCGATAATTTTTTAGAATTTTATGCTGTGAACTTATGAATAAACTATAAAGGCACTATATATATAGGTAATAGGAAAGTGAAAAATACAAGTTGCCCAATAGCTTAAAAGGTTCTCTGAACAGCGTTGGCAAATACTATTATGCGATTTTCACCTTCTGATTGTAATAAGATTTGAAATTTCTGTGGAATTATCTCCTTGCCTAATATTCTTTTACTACTTTGTGGGAATTGACTGCATTTGTTGATGAACTATGTATGCCGACCATACATGGCATAGAAGAATAAAGATACAATATTGTGTTTTTGCTTCTTCTTTTTTTTCATTATGAAATTTTCTGGAATAACTTTCACTTGGGGTAAAGTCCTGAATTAGAATTGAATATGGTGAGTAGGCTGTTTAGGGTTTGTTTAGCATCACTTAAAGAAAAATGTGGCAAAACAATGGCTAGCAATTTATTTTACTTGATTGAAAATTACATATTACATCGAGATTTCATTTATAGTCTAAAACAAATTTGGTTTATCAACTAAAATGAGGAGTTAGTAATTTCTTAATTCCGATCCCCCAACATTGCTAAGATAAAGAAACCATGCACCAAAGTCCGCAGTGCTCGACTTTTCAGTGTAAATTTTGTACCCGCAAAATGGAAGCTCATGACTTGTCTTGTATTTAACCTTTACTAGCAAAATGGGAACCAATTTCGTGTTGCTCAAAACACATTACTAAAAAAGGAAACCATGTCTAAGCTTAGTCAAGTTGGCTATAGTGGATGTGTTCTCTACTCTATACCCGAGTTCGAATTCCCCTCTCTGTAGTTAGATTAGGTTAAAGTATAATATCGCTTGTATAAAAATAATAAAAAAAATAAAAAAGAAGGGGGAACCAGAGTTTTATCATAGATCCCTTTTTTTTTTTCCTTGGGAAATAAAGAAACAGAGTTCTCTGAAGATTGAACTGTGGGGAGGAACCAGTCTGATCTGAAGTCCCCATGGCAAAAATAACACAGAGAACGTATTAATTTTTCTCATTAATTGTCACCAACATGATGTAATTGTAACAACAGATGTCTTATTGCATGGCCTTTCACCATTAGAAAAGAAAAAAAATAGACATAATTGATTGGTTACACAACAGAGATACAGAGAAGTTCATGGTTTGTGCTTCTGTGTGTAAATATAATCCACATGAGCCGCAAGAGTCCTTCTCATGAGGCACTCCTCCATCTCTAACCCTGTGCAGCTGATCTCCCCACCATCCTCAACAGCAATGGCCTCTGCTTCTTTGTCCTGGACAGATTCATAAAAAAAAAATTGATTATCAGAAAGAAAAAAAATAAAGTATAATATCGCTTGTATAAAATAAAATAAAAAATAAAAAAAGGGGAACCAGAGTTTTATCATAGAACCCTTTTTTTTTTCCTTGGGAAATAAAGAAACAGAGTTCTCTGAAGATTGAACTGTGGGGAGGAACCAGTCTGATCTGAAGTCCCCATGGCAAAAATAACACAGAGAACGTATTAATTTTTCTTATTAATTGTCACCAACATGATGTAATTGTAACAACAGATGTCTTATTGCATGGCCTTTCACCATTAGAAAAGAAAAAAAATAGACATAATTGATTGGTTACACAACAGAGATACAGAGAAGTTCATGGTTTGTGCTTCTGTGTGTAAATATAATCCACATGAGCCGCAAGAGTCCTTCTCATGAGGCACTCCTCCATCTCTAACCCTGTGCAGCTGATCTCCCCACCATCCTCAACAGCAATGGCCTCTGCTTCTTTGTCCTGGACAGATTCATAAAAAAAAATTGATTATCAGAAAGAAAAAAAATAAGAATTAATGACAGAAAAGTATATTAAAACAATTAAAACAATTAAAACAACATACTTGTTGTTGGGTTTTCAGGGCGGCGTTGGTGAAAGCAGGGTCTGGACGAGCAGCAAGGCTGAGTTGAAAGCTCAGGAGGAGAGCTGTGGTGAAAAGGGTGGTGATAAGCTTAGCCATTTTTCTTTTCTCTTTTGGGTTGTAATTTGACTCTCTGTTTGGAGAATTTATAGTGGGGTTTTGTTTGTTGGTTTTGCATGTCCAATTGGATGGTGACTCGTTGACGGGTTTAGATGATTGGAGCAGAGCCAACTCTACCAGAATTTACACCAAAATCTCTCTCTCTGTTAATCTTCATCTTTAACTATGGTACCAGAAAAGAAAACAAAATTTGAGAATATTGTAACCGAAGAAAAGCATTTATGAAAATGATCTAGAAACATATTACGGGTCTGTTTGGGAGTTGCTTCTGTAAAGACTACAAATATTTTCTGATAACTAAAAATGCTTCTAACAATTTTTGACAGAAAAGTTTAAAAAGGCTTTCTGGAGAATCTCCTGCCATTTGTTTCTTTAGAAAAAAGCCCTTGGATTTTTTATATATGAAAGTTTAAGATTTTTATAATAAAAGCGAATTTGTTAAAAGCGCTTAGAAAACAAAATTTGAGAATATTGTAACCGAAGAAAAGCATTTATGAAAATGATCTAGAAACATATTACGGGTCTGTTTGGGAGTTGCTTCTGTAAAGACTAAAAATACTTTCTGATAACTAAAAATGCTTCTAACGGTTTTTGACAGAAAAGTTTAAAAAGGCTTTCTAGAGAATCTCATGCCATTTGTTTCTTTTAGAAAAAAGCCCTTGGATTTTTTATATATGAAAGTTTAAGATTTTTATAATAAAAGCGAATTTGTTAAATGCGCTTAGAGCAGAAATACTTCCTAGAAAAGTAGTCCCAAACTAGTCTATTTTGAGCAAATTTGTTGCGTTTTAGGCTTGTGCTACTACTCGATTTGTCCTTAAAAAAAACACATCAAATCAAAGTGAAGAAGAAAGATATTTGCTTATGCAGTACGCGTTTTCTCAAGCCATATTAATCACATATCAAAGAGAGGGAAATTGAGGTTAGTATATTTATTTTATACTGTTTAAGTATAATACAAACAATATTCATTTAAAAGGTGGATACGAGACAAAGTGATGGTGGGTTGGCTTATATCCATCCATCTACAACAGTGTGTTAGTTATTTTTCCCAAATTGACTAAACTCCATGAACAAAACAAAAATGGTAATTCCACGATTGATCTATTTGGGTATGCAGATTGCAGAAATAAAGTGTCAATGGAAATATCATTTTCCAAGCAAGGCTACATGGCCCTCTTACAATTGGGCCTAAATTCTAACAAAATCCGAGAGCATAAACAGAATTTGTTTAATTTGGTGTTTGGGAATTGGGCCTCCAAACAGGAAAGTGTACTCTCTGTCTTTGAACTTTGAAAACAGTCTTTTGGATGCACTTTTTTGGGTCAGTCAATCTTCAAGGAAACATTTTCAATCAATCACATTTCTCTTCCGCATGCGCGCAGGGCAGGCAGGGACACACAGTCACACTCACATACCTACACAACACACACCTTCTAAAAGTTGACTTTCTTTAGGGTCTGGTTCACTCTCTCTCTCTCACTCTCTCTCTCTCTCTCAAAATGAGGTAATGGATATGATGAAACTCACTCTCATTACCTTTGAGTATCATCATTATCTTCATCCATTCTTTAATATATTCGCAGCTTCCTCCTTCATATCCATTGTGTTCATGATTAATTTACATAAATATACTTCTTCTTTTTAAGCATAGTGGAGAAGTGAGATGCCCCTACCTACAGCTCTATGCTAGTTTCACAAAAATTCATAAGTGCAATTTACAAGTTCACCCTCCACACACAGATACTGAGCAATTATGCAGTGGAGAATAACAAAATCAGGGTTCTCCCGGGAAAAAAGGGATATGCTCTCAAATAGTCTTATTATATCGATATCATTTTCATATGTTGTCGATATTTTCTCATTATATCGATAACTAATCTCTATAACTCTATTTGGAACTAAGAATAATTCATTTATGGTACTTACGGTATCCACTTAGCTTGTAAGTTGTAACTAATTTTTTGTTTTTATGATTTAACTTGATAACGAAGGAAAGATAACATCATAATGCTTGTTATGAGTATATTCATAGAAACAGCATATGATTCAATGCTTTTTTACTGTTAAGTCTGCATTTTTGTATTTTAGCAAGATGTCGTAGACCGCCCAACCAGCCAGAAACGACAGCAATGCGAATAAATATTTACAAATGTCACATTAAATTATCTAGCCTAAAGTAATACATTTTTGTAATTCTGCAAACTGTTAAGGGCATCTATTGGAATTTCAACTAATAATCATTCACAAGCCTTATAATGAGGCCCCCTAAAGAAATGCTTAAAGCCTATAGTTTTCTCAACCCCCTCTCTCACTATGCGGCTAGCTACCCCAACCTAATTCATTCTCCAAAAATTCATGGCCACCACCACCTCCTCCTCCAACTTCTTCAATCTCCAGTCAACTACCACTTCTGTCCACCCCAAGTCCCGGCCCTCGTCGAGCCACGGCTCATCACACGGTTGTAGCAAGGTTGATGGGGTGGCTATGTGGCTCATTAACAGTGTCACAACTTGTTTCTTTGCATCCTTAGAGAGGTTCTCTTGCATCCGTATCGCCACGCAAGACGACGGTGATGACAGCAACGACTTGCCGTTGATTTTTAACGACGGGAATCTTCGATATGAGGCTGAGGCGACCCCAAGTCGGAGGAGAACAGGTAAAGGAAAGAAGGGTATTGCTGGAGGACCATGTTGACCGATTGAGCACCAAAGTTGTGTTAAATTATATGTAACAAGTCAATCAAATCTCTTCTCTTCACTTTTTTCGGTAAGTGGCATCAAATATGGGGGCTGGATTCTCTTGCAATTGTGAACGTTTGTTGGTTATGGTTTTTGGAGGGGTTGGAATATAATTATGAACATCAAAGAGGACTTATGTTAATTAAATTACTGCTTTTGAATATGTGATTTGAACATGAAATTAATAACATATATTTTTATTTACAACTCTGTTCTTCTTTTGTTTAGCAACCTTTAAATGATTATTTTAATTTACTGTAATAATGTTGATAATGTCCCAATTATTATTTAAATTTCATAGCAGAAAGAAATGGAGCAAATCCAGCAGCAAAAGTCACTTTAAATATATTCAAATCTTTTTTTTCTCCATGATTTTGAATCATGCTGTCATTTCATTTCATTTATCATCATCATGTTGCTTCATTGCCCAAAGTTTCTTTTACTTTTTTTGTTTTATCTTTTCCCCTTAATCACGTACAATCAAAACCCAAAGAATCCAAAGCAAACAAGACCTTTATTCATCTGTCTGCCTTTAACAAGTGTAATGCAAGTAAACAAAGAGAATTAAGCAAAGACAGTGACCCAATTTCTTTTTTATGGTGAAGGGTCACGTCTAACAGCATCATTATTAACCTCCAATCTCACTACTCTTCTTACCAATGGGGTGTTAGTTGGATTGGCTCAATCCCAAGTGCTTCTGGGTTTAAACCCCCATAGTACCGTGTGTGTGAGTTTTTCCCATTTTTCTTCCCTAACTTTGGCAACAAAATTCCCATTATACTCTTTTCTTTTTGGTAGGTGCTTTTGAATATGTGATTTGAACATGAAATTAATAACATATATTTTTATTTACAACTCTGTTCTTCTTTTGTTTAGCAACCTTTAAATGATTATTTTAATTTACTGTAATAATGTTGATAATGTCCCAATTATTATTTAAATTTCATAGCAGAAAGAAATGGAGCAAATCCAGCAGCAAAAGTCACTTTAAATATATTCAAATCTTTTTTTTCTCCATGATTTTGAATCATGCTGTCATTTCATTTCATTTATCATCATCATGTTGCTTCATTGCCCAAAGTTTCTTTTACTTTTTTTGTTTTCTCTTTTCCCCTTAATCACGTACAATCAAAACCCGAAGAATCCAAAGCAAACAAGACCTTTATTTATCTGTCTGCCTTTAACAAGTGTAATGCAAGTAAACAAAGAGAATTAAGCAAAGAAAGTGACCCAATTTCTTTTTTATGGTGAAGGGTCACGTCTAACAGCATCATAATTAACCTCCTATCTCACTACTCTTTTTACCAATGAGGTGTTAGTTGGATTGGCTCAGTCCCAAGTGCTTATGGGTTTAAACCCCCATAGTGTGTGTGAATTTTTCCCCATTTTCTTCCCTAACTTTGGCAAAAAAAATCCCATTATACTCTTTTCTTTTTGGTAGGTGCCACCATTTAAGCACTAGAGCTATAAAAAAAGAGAGAGAGAAGTTATGCTGAATTAATCTGTTTATTCAAACCTGATATTCTTATGCACTCTCAATCAAATCTTATCTATATATTTTTGACCAAAAAAAAATCTTATCTATATTTCCCATCAAAATCCTCAAGTTAGCATAAAACCAAAGTGAATTTCGGCTGCGCATGCTCGTGAGTTGGTTTGCTTCAACTTTTTCCATATAAAAGTGCTTCCAACACAGTGACACTTTCCAGTCAAAAAAAACTGAGCACTCAATTTGAATATGTACGGAAGGTTTTGTGGGGTTCAAGGCAAAAAAAGTTTTACGTTATTGAGCAGTAAATAGACACAGCAAGAAGAACAATATGGATATTTTACTGTCTACTTTACTCCAATAAAACATTGAGCAAAATTTAAAAGAGAGACAACTAGGCCTAAAAGTGCTTCCAACACAGCGACACTTTCCAGTCAAAAAAAACTGAGCACTCAATTTGAACATGTACGGAAGGTTTTGTGGGGTTCAAGGCAAAAAAAGTTTTACGTTATTGAGCAGTAAATAAACACAGCAAGAACAAGAAGAACAATATGGATATTTTACTGTATTGCCTTATCTTTCTGTGGTAGGAACCCACGCGGCGCGCGCACTATGGCTTTATCCAATATTGAATATTTTTTTTAGGTGAGATCCAAGGGTATCCACCGCCGACAGTAGTGACTAATCCCTTTCGCCGCTGGAGCTCTCCCAATGGAGGTAAACGGCTGGCCACAAAATGCGCTCCATTCCCATGGGCGGGGATCGAACCCCCAACTTCATGGTTAAGGAATGAGGTGAGCTACCACCACACCACATCTCATGGTTAATAGGCTAAGTTTTTCGACCCAAAGAAAAAAGACAAAAACTTGGATTTGAAATAAAAAGGAAAGCCTGTAGACGAGTTCATCAACATGGATTGAAATTTCTAGCCCAACTGGTTATGGTCCAAAGGTGTTTTGGCCCAAAAAAAATGGGAACAAAAAAGCTAAGCGCCGTTGCCGGGGATCGAACCCGGGTCACCCGCGTGACAGGCGGGAATACTTACCACTATACTACAACGACCTTGTTGATATTATTTCATATTAATGAACATATATATAATTATGCAAACATAAAACTACGCCAAAGTCCAAAGTGACGCAAGTCATCCCTGTGACTCTCTGTCAGGTGGAACACAATTACAGAGCGGCAGATCACCGAGTGAAGTCATCGTAGCTCGTCACCATAACCAACCACCCTTTGCTACCTCCTAGCTGCCTCTAGCTGCTATTCTCCTACTCATATTATTTGGTTACAGAGAGAGAGAAGCGAACTCACAAATCAAATCGAAATGCTCCGCGATGGAGAAGAAACCCCCTCCAGGTACGCGCGTCTTTGATTTTTTGCTGTTTTCTGTCTGCTTCTCGGGAATTTTAGATTTCATAAGCTCCCTCTTTGTTTCGATAACAGTCTAAGTTTTCCATATAACATGTGGCATCTCTGCAGGTTGTAAAGACTGTTTATGCATCTCCAAGCCGTGTCAATTTTCAATTGGACTCAAGAAAGGTTAGTTTAGGTACTTTCTGATCATCCTGATATCACAGAATCATTCATTTTATTCCATTTCATTCTGACACTGTCGCTAACATTTATCTAGGAAGTGGAGACAACACCTGCTTATCCAGATATTTGTTTCGCAATCGATGACTTCGACTCCACTTTTGATGCTGTGGTAAAGGGCCTATTGTAGCTTTCACGTTTCTAAATCTTATATCTGCCAGAATTTTAAACACCCTTGCATGTAACTCTTTCAGTTTGCGCATTCTAACATGTCTACAATTTATAATGCTGCAAGAAATGATTGTATTTCTTGGTTTTTCAGGTCTTGACTGAAACGGACCATTGCTATTGTGTAATTCTCAATGCACATGATGGGGCAGCATTTCCCAGGGTAAAGGAACAAGATGGTTGCAGTTCCAGTGATAGTTCCTCTTTGAGGGTCGAGACTAATTCTTCAAAGACAAAAAATACTAAGGTTTCTTTTAAATCTCTGTTCACATGCCAGAATTACCATTAGATATGAGATAGGTGAAATCCCCACACACGCTCTTGCTTCAAGGACTACCCTGTATACATTCTGATTTGCTGGTATCGTGATTGCAGCTGACTCTTTTTTCAGGATTTGTCAGCTATCAAATGGTTCGAGATGCATATGATGGTACATTTTCCTACAGATAACTCAATTTCTGTTGTTTCACTTAAACCTAATTCTTTGTTTACTTTCATTTATAGAGCAGTTTGATTCATATTAGTCCATTAAGATTGGAGTTCCACCCAAACTATATAGTTTGAACAATACATTAAATAGGTTTGCGAACATCATTTATTTAACTTTCTACAGTCTCCCAGGGTACGGGATGTCAGAATATAATTCACATATCTCTGTCTCTCTCTCACAGCTGGCAAGTCTCGATTTGGGAATCTTCTTGGTAATTCCCCTGGCAAACAAGACAGACTTTACATGAAAGGTCCTGGAGGACGTGGCGAAGTTGAAGTAGCTGTTTCCGGTGTTGCAGGTAAGGGATCTTTTCTCTATAATTGACTGATGGAAGAAAGTTTTCTATTTCATTTCTTGGTCTTTATGTTCTAGAGGAAATGTAACTGCAAAATGTTCCTTTCTGGGAAAAAAAAAACAAAAAAACATTGTTGACATTTTTCGGTTGGATGTTTACTGTTTTTGTAAATAGCTCAGGTGGAGATTGATTATGATGTTACCAGCACTTTCTAAGTAATTAGAGGTTTTAAAGGTCTGAATGAAAATTATATTATACATTAGTTGCTGAGTTAATTTTCTTGTCTGTTTTAGGAGGAAATTAATATTATTAGTTTGGCACATATTACAATTTGTTTTTCATGCAAAATACATCTGGTTTTATGTTTCCTACTTGTTCTGTGACAAATTTACGAGTTTTATCAAGTAATTGATTGTATGATGTGAGCATTGGTGCATGTACTGAAAGTAGATGTTGTGTTATCAGATCAAAGCCAACAAGATCTAGGTCCATTTTCACCTGTTATATCCAAGCAAGGATTTGGAATTGGCTCCATTGTTCGTAAAGCGGCTTCTGTTGCATCTGTGGCTGCAAAGAATGCCTATGCAGCTGCTGCTTCTAGCCATAGTTTTGATGATGAGTTGGTACCTCTCAAATGCTGCTTAATGTCCATTACATTACCCTGGGAACACATTGCATATGATCTTCTCTTTAAGGTGAGGTTGTTGTTCCCAGCTGCTAATGAATGAAACGGATATACTTTTGGGTAATCGTAATTTGTGTTAAAATTGCTCCTGCTCTCGGCACTTCTTTACCTACAAGTCTCTGATTGGCGCTTCAGAGTTGCTCTTTCCTCCATTTTCTTAAATAAAATAAGAGCACAAGCAAGGTTGAAAATCTGTTGTTCGACTTTGTATTCTTTTGTGGGTTTACTTGAGGTGTTATTAACTTACCTGATAACTGGAACTTTCCAGATACTGCAATAACGGGCAGCAATAAATAAATAATAATTTATAAAATAAAACATATTACTCTTTCCATGCTTTGAAGAGCACTAAATTTAGTCCTCATTTGTGAAACTCAGGGTACTCCTCCAGTAAACTTGTAAGCATGCATCTTATGTACTTCTCACTGGTGATGAATATCATAAATGAGTATGCACCTGCAAGAGGAAAACGTGAGACGAGCAGAGATGTCCTGTGATCATTGTAAAGTTTGTAATCCACTTGTATATGGAGACCTCTTGCTCTCCGTATGCGCATACGGCGCTGGCCTAGAGCTGTTTGTAATTAAATGTATTGTACAACACTATATTTTTTTTCTCTCTTTTTTGTTTCTGTTTACAAAACTCAGCAACATCTTCATGATCAATATACTTTTCCAGGTTCAGTGAACATCTGGCTCTATATTATATATATTGGGGAGTGGAAGCACTTTGTCTATAATATATGCCCTAGTTTTATTTGCAATCATGACCTAGTCCTACTCGTATGCTTTCGATTACATAGGGATCTCTTGACTTTTGTAGCTTTTAAGGTTCGATTCTTTTAGGCCGGTTTCAGACAGAGGGATGTCCATGCAGGCTCTTGAATATCAACCTGATCAAAACGACGTCGCACAAAGCGACAAATATACTATTGTTTTCATCTCTTTAGAGTTTAGCTCCCTCTATCTGGTTACTTTAGGCCATGTTTGTAATGTTGAATCCAATGAAACATGGCTCTCAAGCTGGCCTGTTGCAGGTTTAGCATTCGAAAACAAAGCAGATAAATTTTTAAATCAGTGCAGCAGCACATGAAGCCTACTTTGGATTTGGGGCACACTGAAAGGGAGGCAGGACAAGCCTCATCAGTTGGCTTTAATTCATATAAATATGCAGGTTAAGGCTTAAAACGCAGAAGAGAACGTGTGCATGTTAGCCTCCACTTATAATTTGCTCTGTATTTACTGATGATCATGAAAGCCAAACCCCATCGAAAACGTCCAAGAATGCTAACTAAGAAAACTGCCCTGAAATATTCCTTTCACAAAATCTATTTGCGTCTGAATATTTTATACGTACACTTCCTTTACATTGTAGATTTAACCTCTCTTAAATTCATGATTTAACAACATAACACGTAATGTTTATAATTTAATTATTTAATTAACCCCCCCACCACCTTTGTCGACATCGGCGCAACCTGTCGACTAAGCTTTCAGATAATTAGCTGTTTGTATATACATTTTTGTTTGATTCTTCGTGGTTAAGCTAAAGCTGATCTTGTATGTTGGAGCCCACCGTCTCTCTCCTCTTCTCTCTCAGTCCAAACTTCACACCCCACCGCACTCCATTCCACTACCTTTACACAAAAGTTGTGCACGTAATGGCACTACACCAACCCTAAAATATTATTTTTAAAACAACTAAATAATTAAATAAAAGTTAATTAATTCAAGACGCTGTTTTTTGTTAATTTATACTTTTCATGGACAATAATGCCCTCCCTGCTCCAAAAACTTTTGCTTGTGGTGGACCCCACGTGTCCCTCCCCTTCAACGATAAATACTCAGCCCCTCCACTTCGTTCCTTCCCTTTTCTCCTCCTCTCCTCCCTACGCTACACTCAAATGACCATGAGTTTCTCAGCCATGCGCTTCAACCACGAACCGGTCCACTTTAACCGGTTTGAGTGCCCGGTTCAAGAAACCGGACTCACAACAGCTGAAATCCAGGAACTGCTGTCCCTGCTCCAAGAGGGAAACGCGGCCTCTCCAAACTCCGGTTCAGAGGATTCGAACCGGGCAGTTTACTCGGTGGACGAGAAAAAGCTTAGGCGCAAGACGTCGAACCGTGAGTCAGCCCGGCGGTCCAGATGGAGAAAGAAGAGGCACTTTGAGGACCTGACCAACGATGTGAACCGGTTGAAAGTAGAGAACCGGGAGCTGAAGAACCGGTTGGGCGTAGTTGCTCAAAAGTGTCACGTAACATGGAGAGAAAATGACCGGTTGACATCCGAGTCCCTAGCCCTAAGGGCCAGACTTTCGGATTTATACTGGAATTTTGTTGCCATGCAGATGCAGTCACAATAATATATAAAATCCCCAAGAGTAATTAACAAAATGATCATCATCATCATTTATACTAATAAGCTCTAATTAACTGGTAATTAATTAGAGCAAGATTAAAGAGTATCATAAGGTTGGTCGGGGTACATTTGGCTGTCTGAAAATGATGGGTTTTTTTTCTTCTTATTTGCAAGTTTCAGGTTCTAGGTCGTAGCTCCACGAAAATTTGGTGGGGATTAGGGCTAGGCATATAGCTGGCTAGATATCGCCATGCATGCATATGTAAATATTTTGGAGGATTATAATGAAAGTGGAGGCTCTTGTTTTTGCCTTTTTCCATTATCTGCGCTGTGCTCACGAAAAGGAACGCTGCTGCACTGCATATATGTTTCACGTTGTCGGTCTATACTCTATGTAAAGATTCGAGAATCAGTTTGTAGCTTTTTGGTTTTGCATGTTTCTTTTTTTCTCCAAAATAATATAATTTTCTCTATGTTGCGTGAAAATTGATGCTTGCTAGCTACAATTCCGCAACATATATATATATATAATATGCGCAAATTTGAAAAAGACCAACACCTAAAAATTCATGCTAATATATATATGTATGGCTATAGCCTTTTACCTAAACGATTCGTGTGTTTCTACTTTGTGTGATATATACAAATATAACTTAACGTAATTAACATGAGCGTTTCCGTTTTATATTTACATTTTGGGTGTAAATCGAACCAAAATCAAATACCCCATAAGGTAATATCACAAATTTTGTTGAAGAATATTGAAGTCCCATATCAGAAACTTAACAAAATCAAATACCCCATATAATGAATGGTTTCACTACTAATAACATCGAGACTTTTTATATAAAACCTCGCACTTGCTAAATAAGTTGTTAAATTAGGAACAATATCGATATTGCTAGTAGTAGGCCATGAATTCGTCTCTCTAAAATTTAACAAATCTTAATACACAATATACATCGATCTTCACAATTATTGAAACTTGTTCCTAAACCAAAGTATTTGTATATGCATATTCAAATATTGAATCTGTCATATGATTCAGTGCAAACACTGAAAAAGATGATACCATTGTATCTTATTTCTTGAATTTAGTTTAGATAATATTTAACATGAAAGGGGTTAGTAGTTAAGTGTGATTAGATATGAATTTAGATTAATTATCATAACTTTTGTAATTGGCATTATGCAGCACATGTGGGCAGCATTACCTTCCTTCCACTACCCGGACAAAGCCATCTTACGTTTACCTAAAAACTGTACGAGAGAGACGAAGCAACAAAAGTTGGCATCTAGATTAGGCAACATAAGACACATGGACTTACCAGATGGAGTGATAGAAAAAAAAAAAGGAAAGAAATTAAAGCAACAAATCCAGACCAGATAATTAAATTTGTATTGTCATCATCAATCAAGCACAGATTAAATTGTCTACTTTCGATCACCAGCAACAAAAATTATTTATGCTTCTTTTTTATTAGAGACTGGAATTATAAGGATATAATTAAAGAGACTGGAATTAAAGGCTATATATATATATATATATATATGATAATTAATCTTTGATCTTCTCCTTTACAGCTAGCTGGAGCTTTTTCAGAAGTAATGGTTGGTTCATAATCAACCATTACAATTGGTATTAGAACCAACCACCACATCTAATTAAGATTATTTGTGTATGGTAGCATGCATATGTTTGGGTTTAATAGGCTCCAACTTTTGACATGTCCATTCAAAGAAAAAGCAACCCAAAATTTTATAATGGAAGATTCTCAATTCATCCTTAACACAAGCTAACGTATTAGGTTGAATTAATTTGGAGAACGATGACCAAATGGCAAACAACCAAAAGTAGTAATTAATAATTTTCAACCTCTTTTTTTAAAAAATAAATAAATAAATAGTACAAGCGATTATTGGGGGGTTTTATACATAAATATTTATTGAGTGTATGAGGATTTCGAACCTCTGTCCGACATGAGTGGAGATGGAAGAGCTCCACCGACTAAAGCTATACCCCATTGGGCTTTCAACCTCTTAATTGTATTTATATGTTTAATGTTTTTTGAAGAGTTATACTTGGCCATGCTTAATGGATATTGGACAAAGAAAAGGTGCATTGACTATATAACTTACAATACAATTAGACAATTAATCTTGTCGTGGAATGGATTATGGATGGGGCATTTTCAATCCAGATGCAAGGAATGGATTTGATTTTCGGATTTGTAGCCCCCATCAAATCGCCAAAGCGATATATAATTAAAAGGATCAAAATAGTAAAGCGAAAGAAAAAAAGACTTATCGGCCTAGACCCATTTGAATATTAATTCAACCTCTAATAACTAAAATAGAAAAGAAAAAGGAGAAAACTACCATTCATGACCTAATCCTCCAAACTCCTGACCATGCTAGAAGAAACTGTATCTATGAGAAAAGGAGCAAACTTTCATTCATTCATCCATTAGGTCTCTTTCGCGACAGTTTCTTCATTTGCAAGTTCATCACAACTAACCCACGTGTCAAAGAAAGGCACACTTGCTAGATCAAATATGTTACCACGTGCTTCAATTGTTGGTAATAATTTAAACAAAAGTACTGATAAAGTAAAAAAAGATGTTGGTAAAAGTAAATATCTTTTTGACTTCTTCGTCTTCCTATGTTCATGCATGTATTGGATTTTGGATTTTGGATTTGTGGGTCAAGTTGAATCATCAAGAGAATCATCACCCGAAAAAGAAAAGGGTATCAAAGTTAAGGCAGGTATATGTCATGTCAATAGTTATTTGCAATCTCATAGTCACTTTCCTTCTCCCTTCTTTCTTCCTATCTTTCGCAGTCAATCTTAAACTTTCTTATTTCTAGTGGTTTTCAAAATCACGTTACTGCGGCTTGCTCGAGATTATCTCTAATTCAAACTGGATCTTTATGATAGAAGAAGGTCTTGGGTCAAACAGTTGAATCACACCATTCATTTACCCAATATATAGAGGGTCCCGCTCCTTTGTGAGAGCAGTCAGACTAACGACATAGTTCAACCGCTTGACCTAAGACTTTCTTCTTTAATAAAGATGGACATGAATTCTATAGTGATGTTGGATCAAATTGGTTAGTTTGATTCAACAGTTAAAAGAAAGGATCTTATCTAAATTCCTCCACATAAAATGACTCTAGAGATGGACCTCACAAATTTGGACCGTACCGGTACCGCACTAGTTCAAAATGAGGAAGATAGGCCCATTGGGGAACAAAGAGATCACTATTTGGGCTTCAAACGAGAAAAGGGCATGGGATATACAGGCCCATGAACCTTTGGGCTTCCGCATATTGAGCCCATTTGTTTAC